TTGTTTTAAGAATATTTCTGAAAGAAGTCTCTTATGTTCACCAAGGCTGCATTTATTTGATCAAAAATACAATTTTACAAATGTAAACTTGATTTTGTCAATGGGGAATTGAATGGATGGTGGTGGTTTGCTATTGGCTGATCTCATGTGAGTGACAGGTTGCCCCGCCCACACGCCAGCAAACACATCATCAGAGAAGAGGTGTTGCTTTTGTTTAAAGATTACAAGGCTCATTCGTTTAAAAAAAAAAAAATAAAGATGTGCATAAATAAATCGTTCATAAATACTGAAATATTCCATAAAAAACAAGAACTGTCAAATTTGATTTCATCGTGACATTAATGTAATCCACAGGGTGTGTTTAAAGGATCTGGGCATATACTGAAACAGAACGGCCTTCTAATGACTTACGGAGTGAGTTCATCTCATTTTCTACATGTTGTCTAATATATTTTTAATGCAGCAAAATCTCAGTATAACCGTGTGGATTTAATGTCTCTCAGCCGTACGCGATCAATGGCACCATCACTCCCGTCTGCAATGAACACCTGGACCAGACGTTACGCCAGATGTGGGTTTCCACAATCTTATTTTAAGAGTCAATATACTGGTAGCCTATTTGTTGAGGTATTGGATGAAATATGCACACGGTGTTTCAGGTGCACTGCTTAATCCTGTCATTAGGAATCCGGAGTGGGGTCTTCCCGACATCGATGTGCTCCGACAGCTGGCCTTCAGTAACGGGATGAGGATGGAACGAATGGTGAGGGACGCTCAATCACATGATGCTTTTTAATGTGTTCCTTTACGTTTAGTGTGTCATGTGTATGTTCGTACATGTATAAGATCTGCCCAGTGACAAAGCTCAGTTGACAGGTTTCATGCGATTCACTGATTCTTATTGATTGAAAAAGCCTTAAAGGGTTAGTTCACCCAAAAATGAAAATTCTATCAGTATTTACTCACCCTCATTTTGTTTCAACCCCGTAAGACCTTTGTTCATCTTCGCAACACAAATAAGGATATTTAAGATATTAAGATCGTTCCTGCATACTAGTCCATAGGCTTCTTGAGGGAATGACATGCTGTCCTCGAAAAGTCATTAAAGACATCGTTAAAATAGTCCAAGTGACTACAGTGGCTCAATTTTAACTTTATCAAACGACGAGAACACTATTTGTGTGCAAAAAAAACGACTTTATTTCAACTATTCGTTTATTTCTCCCTCTGCGCGAGTCAGCTTACTAGTTTAATAGCGTAAGCTTCTGTTATTGTACGTCACACGCATCACACACATGACCAGCGTCGGCCAATAGTGAGCCTACGTGTGACGTAGCTTTACGCAATCACACTACGTTAACTGACTACAGGCCCATGGAGAAGGAAGTGAATAGTTGAAATAAAGTCGTTATTTTTGTTTGTTTTTGTGCACAAAAAGTGTCCTCGTCATTTGATAAAGTTAAAATTAAGCCCCTGTAGTCACTTGGACTATTTTAACGATGTTTTGATGCCAGCAAGAGTCATTCTCTCAAGAAGCCTATAGACTAGTATGCAGGAGCGATCTTAATATCTTAATTAAGTTCCGAAGATGAACGAAGGTCTTACGGGGTTGAAACAACATGAGGGTGAGTAAATACTGACAGAATTTTCATTTTTGGGTGAACTAACCCTTTAAGACAGAATTTAATAACCTGTAATTTGCTTGATTATTCAACAGATTGAGATGCCTGAGAGCAACAAATGCCTTGTCTTCAGAAGACTGTAGTAAATCGGATGACAAAACGGATCCGGTTTCCAGGATAAAAGTTCAGTTTCACATTCGGTCACTACTGTAAAACACACAAACCGCACAGATTTACATTGTTTTATTGTGCACATACAAGAAAAGAAACATTTCCACTAACGTATGACCAATAAAAGAACGAGATATTTATTAAATATGATTTTAAAATGACTTTTTTTTTAAGATGAAGCAGATCAGTATGGAACAAAGGTGATATCAAAGGGGTTACAGAAGTCACCGGTTGTGTGTGTGTGTTACAAACATGCACCGTTCAAATCATCCAAAAGCTGTCCATCTCTCCTCAATCCATCCACAACCACAGTCTGTTAAAAATAGACTTCGTCTGCCATTGAATTGATGCTCAATCCTACACTGCGATTAATTGGTAATGAAACTACGGCTTTTGAGATGAATGATTCGTCTGGTTCTGAACCCCTGGCTGATCCACATCGAGCAAAGATGTCTGGCAAACTTACATGCAGCACTTGGAAACACCAGCCCGTTTATCTGGATCTATTCCCTTGGTGATATGCAAATGGCAGTAAAGCTGACATCTCATTGGCTGTTCATTATATGACAGAAGCCAAAGTGCGCGGCATCTACCGTATAAATCATAAGCGAGGATTCCACAACACTGATCCTAAACTCAGAGCTTCTGAAATAGTTCTAGAACTGCAGACGATGGTCTGGAAAACGGTGTGTGACGCCTCAGTGACCTCTGCTAAAGCCAGCAAGTCTCGTATTCGAATAAAACAAATGGCTGTTACATATTCACTCATGCAAACACATTTTAAGAAAATATGAGACAAAGGATGGTTATGTCGTCTTTTTAAATCATATCGTGTTTCTCTCTCTATAGTACGAATGACTAACTTCGCGTAAGCTCGGTTTTATTAGGAAAAACTACATTTGAAAAAAAATCTAGAGAGAGGAAAGATAGAAGTAGGGTGAATCTCACAAACAGGTCCAGGTCACGTTTTAATGGAAGCTCATTTCCGCTACATACTTTGGTAAATCATAATTATGACACTACAAATGATGAGATACAATTTTGATGTAAAAAGTCAAATTAGCTTTTTAACATCATAATTTCAACTTGATTATGATTCAAAATAAACAACTTTTAAATGTGATCGAGAAATAGTAATAATTATGATAAAAAGTCTCAATTGATGTAAAAAGATCGTCACAATTTTAACTTTTTAGCAACTTTTTAACCCAATTATTACTTGAAATTTGATGAGATATTGATAAATTGAGATATTTACAATATGTAGTCTCGTAATTTCAACATTAAACATTACATTTTTTAATTTTAATCTCATAATTAATCTCAAATCTCATCTTTAATCTCAAAAGCATGAGCATCTTATGTGGTGGAAATGGGCTTCCATAAACAATAAAGAATTTTTTTTTTTAAATTTATTTAGGACCATTAAGAATTGTATGCATTATTTTCATGACATTAAATACATTTCCCCCCAAAATTCTTATCAATGTGTCAAGATGAGTTTTTGTAATTCCCATAATTGTCAATAGTGAGTCTTATTACAGTCTTTTTTAAAAACTGAAATCAGTATAAAGGCAGAATAATAAATATTACAATTGTGTATAACTACTTTACAGTTGAAATAATACACAAATTTTGTGCATTACAACAATAAGAATGGGGTGAGAAGACAAGTTTAATTGTCGTAACTAATGTCATAATACCCTAAAAGGGCTTGGTTTTCTTTATGGGATGGGTTTGTTTGTTTTGGGGGTAAAATGTGACCCAGACATTGGGTTTTGTGAGATTCATCCAGCTGAGAGACAAAGGTTCCCCACCAGCTCCATCTGTAGCCTCTCCTCCTTCGTTTAAAGAGACAGGGAAGGGAGAGGGACTCAGACGGCCAGATGCTTTTACTTGTATTTGTACACCTTCAACACTTGTGGAGCGAGAGCAGGTGAGGATAATGACCCCAGAACCGGCAGGGTGCGGGAGGGTTGGATGTAGTGTGCTGGACCTGGCGGGTGAAGGCATATGATGAGCGATCAGTCGAATGAAATGAGCTGAGCCTCTGCACTGCCCGGAGGAGCCTGCGGGTGCTGCTGCTGTTGGGATTGCTGCTGCGGACCACCAGGGGGAGCCATCTGTTCAAAAACATCAACAAACAGTTGACAGTGTAAACATACTGTGTCTACTGCACATTTTTGGTAAATGTGATCACAAGTCCACAAGACGGTACAGAAATTTTAAAAATGTGACGATACTAGCATTTTGAGCATTGTTAAACGAATTCTTAAACACCTCTGGTTGGCCATTGTGTTCACTCGCTCAACATATAGGTCTACAATAATTGGCTATGGCCAATTAGCAGTGTTGGGAGTAACGCATTACAAAAGTAATACATTACAGTAACATATTACTTTTTGCTGTAACGCAGTAGTGTAAGGCATTACTAATCAATTTTCAGTAATATTTTACTCGTTACATGTTCAGTGAGGCTTGTATTACAGTTGTATTACAGTGTATTGTCTGCTTTTACTTCTTAAAGGCAACAGACTATGTGAAAGTTTTAAAGCAGTCTTTCAGTGCCAGTTCAGAGCGGTCGCGTCTGTAACATTGTTTTTTCCTCATAAATACGAACACGAAAACTAAAATAAAATGAATATTTTAAGTTCTATGGAGACTGTGTAATTAACAGAATTACAAAAAATATATTTTACCTCCTATTTTTTTGTCACGCATGAATGTGCGTCTTTTCCCTAATAATAAAAATAAAACATAGACTGATATTTGTCTAATGTCTGGAGTCCTTTAAGGAAGTAGCCCATATACGTTTCAATACATGTATTTTCTGAGAATTTTTATTTCAAGTTTTGACTGCAAATCTCATCATGTCCATAATGCTGGACTTCCCCAATTTTAAATAATTTATCCTCAACTAGTTTTGTGGTGTAGGTCTACGTATTTTATAATGTTAACTACAAATAATACTAATAGCCTAATTTAAAGATAAGGCAGCATTGGATATGGACGGTAAGGAGAATAACGCTGGAGTTGGAAGAGGTGTGTCGCGATTTTGTAGGTTCGTGGATGTGGCGAATCGCGATTTCGGTTTCATATTGCATATCGTTACAGCCCAAAAGTTAAGTTCTACTTAGTTATTTTGGTGAAAGTAACTCAAAAGTAATACATGAGTAATGTAACGCATTACAATTCTGGGACAGTAATATTGTAAGGTAATGAATTACTTTTAAATAACAATAACAAGTAATACCTAATGTATTACAGTTTGGAAGTAACTTGCACAACACTGCCAATTAGAGACCAATACGTTGAGCTTGTGAACGCAAAAGCCAATCAGAGACATGCATGCTGAGCACGAGAATGCAATGGCCAATCAGAGACATGCATGCTGAGCACAAGAATGCAATGGCCAATCAGAGACATGCATGCTGAGCATGTGAATGCAATGGCCAATCAGACACATGCATGTTGAGCACGTGAATGCAATGGCCAATCAGAGACATGCATGCTGAGCATGTGAATGCAATGGCCAATCAGACACATGCATGTTGGGCACGTGCCTGTGCATGTGCATGTGAATGCAATGGCCAATCAGAGACATGCATGCTGAGCACGAGAATGCAATGGCCAATCAGACACATGCATGTTGAGCACGAGAATGTAATGGCCAATCAGAGACATGCATGTTGAGCACGTGAATGCAATGGCCAATCAGAGACATGCATGCTGAGCACGAGAATGCAATGGCAAATCAGACACATGCATGTTGAGCGCGTGAATGCAATGGCCAATCAGAGACATGCATGTTGAGCACGAGAATGCAATGGCCAATCAGAGACATGCATGTTGAGCACGTGAATGCAATGGCCAATCAGAGACATGCATGCTGAGCACGAGAATGCAATGGCCAATCAGACACATGCATGTTGAGCGCGTGAATGCAATGGCCAATCAGAGACATGCATGCTGAGTAGGTTCGTGGATGTGGCGAATCGCGATTTCGGTTTCATATTGTATATCGTTACAGCCCAAAAGTTAAGTTCTACTTAGTTATTTTGGTGAAAGTAACTCAAAAGTAACACATGAGTAATGTAACGCATTACAATTCTGGGACAGTAATATTGTAAGGTAATGAATTACTTTTAAATAACAGTAACAAGTAATACCTAATGTATTACAGTTTGGAAGTAACTTGCACAACACTGCCAATTAGAGACCAATACGTTGAGCTTGTGAACGCAAAAGCCAATCAGAGACATGCATGCTGAGCACGAGAATGCAATGGCCAATCAGAGACATGCATGCTGAGCACGAGAATGCAATGGCCAATCAGAGACATGCATGCTGAGCACGAGAATGCAATGGCCAATCAGACACATGCATGTTGAGCGCGTGAATGCAATGGCCAATCAGAGACATGCATGTTGAGCACGTGAATGCAATGGCCAATCAGAGACATGCATGTTGAGTGCGTGAATGCAATGGCCAATCAGAGACATGCATGTTGAGCACGAGAATGCAATGGCCAATCAGACACATGCATATTGAGCGCGTGAATGCAATGGCCAATCAGAGACATGCATGTTGAGCATGTGAATGCAATGGCCAACCAGAGACATGCATGTTGAGCACGAGAATGCAATGGCCAATCAGACACATGCATGTTGAGCACGAGAATGCAATGGCCAATCAGACACATGCATGTTGAGCATGTGAATGTAATGGCCAATCACAGACATATTGAGTGTGTGAACGCAATGATAAACCAGGTCTTTAAGAATCCGTTCAACAGTGCTCAAAATGCTAGAGAGAAATGTTGGCAGTCACATTTTTAAAATTTCAATACTGACTTAGTACTGAAGTTGGTACGTATGACAACACTACCATAAGTTATAATATGTCTAAGATGTGTAAAACATACACTCAAAAGTAGTATGCGAGTATGCTATTCCACACAATGCTATTAACCATAAAACCTCTGACCTGCTGGTACATGGGCTGCTGCCCAGGCATGTAGGATTGTTGGGGAGGCATGTTGGGGTCTTGTCCTGGAAGAGCGCTCATCATATTCTGCAACAGAAATCAAACTTTACATCCTGTATGGTTTTTGGAAAGGACATCAGATCTGAGATGTACAGGTTTAATGCAAGCCACAAATGTGCTCTGATGTAGTAAAGCTTACCTGCATGTTGTATGGCTGGTGGTAGCCCATGTAGGCAACACCATTGGTGGGGGGAGCCTGGGACATAGGGGGCAAACTCTGAGCTTGGGACACCACGTTCTAGAGAAACAACATGTAAACATTCAACCTTTATGCTACACAAAGGGAGTACGTTACAAAGAGTGTTTGGTAAAGTTTTGTTCACACATCAACTAAGCAACAGAATAAAAGATTAATTATTGACATTTCAGAATCCATATCAGTTAATTGAAGTGAGAATCGAATAAAATCAGCCCTAGTACTTGTAAAGCAGTAAAAGAACATGATGGTTTTAGGTTAATGTAAGGCTTTGATTGTGAGCGTGATGTCCTGACCTGGTAGCCCTGCGTGGGTGTGGGCTGGTAGTTAGTGTAGGCAGGGGTGGTTGTGGGAGGGGCTTGTCCAGGGGCGACTGGCTGCCCACTGGTGCCTGCAGGCTGATACATGTAAGCCATGTTGGGATCTAAAAAAACAATGGACAGAGAATCTATTAATGAATAATAAATAAAAAGTAGCACATTAGAAGCTGATCTAGTTAAATCGTTAACAAAAGGTAGAGGATGTTTGGGTGACCTGCGGGCATGGCCTGGTACGGGCCACCAGCAGACGTCTGTCCGGGCTGGTTCATGTAGACTCCATGCATGGGCGACCCCTCCACTGAACCAGCAGGACTGAACGTGCCTGGGTAACTGGGAGGGCCAGCGGGGGGGTACACCACCCCTCCGGCCACGTTAGGAGGCAGCGACTGCATCTGCAAACAGAACATTACAAACAAGGCTGCAACAACTAATCCATCAAATCAGTGAGAATGACAACAATCAGAATCTCATTATCAATTAATTGCGTCTGTACATTTTAAAGCTACACTGTGTACCTCTTTTAGTTTATTCTTAGATAAAAACACTTAGTTCTTTCAAAAATATATGTGCTCATTAATGTATATTTACTCCGTTAAAGTAATAAAGTATTCTCGTGAGTGTATAATATGCCATTGAAAATACATACGGGTAAGGGGTTCTATTGTCGGTCGCCATGTTGCCCCTCCATCTTGAATGTACATTAGCCAAAGAGGGACATACCCGTTAATTCAAGCTTCGCCTTTAGCGTTTACATCTGAGTTAACACTCATGGACGAGGTCGAACTGGAAGCCATGTTAATCTTGGACTACTTTGGCCACCGTAGGAGTTAAAACAAAATCGGAATCGAGAGGAACAGAAACTAATATTTACTGGATGGTCATATACCTTTTCACCGCTAGATGGGGGTAAAAATCACACAGTGTACCTTTAAGTCCAGTGATTATTTCCATTTTGCACATTTTGAAGATAAGGATTGATCGTGTATTGACCCATTATTTACATTAAGCTATGCATGAGGAAAAAAAAGTATACCTTTAAATGACAAGCAATCAGTTTTGTGATAGATACATGAAATATAGTTGTTTTAATTGCCATTTTCACATTGATTGGGCAGGTTGTAGAATAACATTTTTTTTTGTAAATAATGGATTAAGTTTGGGATTTTTCATCCAATCAATTCAAGAAATAAACAACAGATTTATAGTTTATTAAAAATATAAAAATGTAAAAAAAAAAACTTGGTTTGTAAGAGGCGTTAGACTAGTTTCATGATGCGTTTTGTCATGTAACTTTTATATGAATATAAAACTGAGATTTTAAAGACTGAGATGTTTCGACTTTGTCTCTGATTTAAACTTTAATGGTAAAATGGTTTAATGGTAAAATCATTTAAAGTTATTATTTAACTTTTTATAAGACATTTAAAAATATATCTATTAATAGATATATTAAATAGTCGAAAATATATTGATTTTAATATCGGCCAAGCAACTCAACTCTTTCAGATTACTACAAAGATATACAAATGATGTATTTACTTGTTAACCTCTATTATTCATCATGACTGATGACTGCCTCTGCACACTACGGCAGGCCGACGGTGTCAAAAGTGTGTCAGTAGCAGTGCGTACCTGTGAGTAAGGCAGAGAGAAGGCAGGCATCTGTGCTCTCATCTGAATGGTGTGTTTCTGCTGCTCCAGGCGCATCTGTCTCTCCTTCTCCTGCTCCTGCAGACGCTGAATCGCGAGCTGCCTTTGCATCTCCAGATACTCCTGCAGCAACCAATCACGGTCAGTTTCCCCCTTTCGTCAAGTGATTCAACGGTAAGCAGAAAAGCAACTTGCCTGTTTCTTCTGCCTCATGATCTCCAGTTTCTGGGCGAGCTGGATTTGTCTCTGTCTCTCAGCCTCCTCGGCGGCCCGTCGCAGCTTCTCCCGGTGCTCCTCTCTCAGAGCGTTCAGTGCCGCCCGCGCGTCACGCACCTGCGCCAGCTTGTCCTGAAGACCCTCATAGTACACTGACGGAGAGAGAGAACACAACATTCAGCATCTCAAGACTCGAAGAAACAATAATACACCAGTAACTACATTTACAAAAAAAAAAAAAGAAGTAAACAATCAGCAATGAAATCAGAACAATTAAACAAATTGCATTCGATGGCACAATTAAATACAATAGAATAACGAGAGCAATGAAATGAACAAGGCTTTAACTTATTTTAGGTCGGTCTAACAGTATATATTCAATACTACAGAAATTATAGTATTCAGATTTAAAATAACACTGGATGGTTTTCATTATGAAAATCAAATACAGATTAATGCTTACAATTAAAGTTACAGAAGTTATTCAGTCAAGTTCAGTCTTTGGTTCTTTGATTATCATGACAGACAGCAGCAGCTTTATTAGGCTGCTGTCACTTTAAGAGCGTATGCACTGTTACACAACATGCGTTATCTTTATCAACTAATTAAATTTCAAATCTGACTGTTCACCTGAATAATTGGCAAGATGGGCATTTTGACAATTTTGTATGTATAATGCTACGTTCACACCGGACGCGAATAGCGCGTCAGGCGCGAATGATTTCAATTTTAAGTCAATGCAAAGACGCTTTACGCACGTGAAAAATTCCTGCGGCGCGAATGAGGCGTGGAGCGAGGCGCGGAAGACACGAATACGCCTCGTTCGCGCGAATTGAGCGTCTGGCGCGTTAATCGCGTTACGCGCGAATGATTTAGTTAGTGCCATTTGTGCATTCACGCGTTTGACGTGAATCCGCGTCTGCCGCCCGAGGTGAAAAATCTGAACTTTGGCGTGAATTCACGACGCGTTAACCAATCAGGAGCCTAGCTGCTTGCTCACGTGGTGAAGTGTCTGGATGCTTCAATAAATTATTTTGTTAATATGACTAAATGCATGGTGGGATTATGCACAACAAAGCAAATGTTTCATCACTTAAAACATTATTTCTATATACGAGACATGTTCATTTTGTATTGAATGTTATTCATTCCATAGCTAGATTATATGAAATAGTATTATGTTGTAAAGACAATCAACATATGTGCATAAATTCGTGTCTGGATGTGAGAGAGAGAGAAAAAAAAAAAAAAAAAAAAAAAAAAATCACAGGACAGGTTAATAACTTTTGAAGGCTGGCTCTATTTATCATCAAAACAAAAATAAATGACAGCTAGATTAGATGGATGAGGGCGAGGGTGATCCTCACTCTGATGCAGGACAACAGGTCATCAAACGGGGCGCGTGACAGGCGGAAGTACCGCTGACAGCGGCCGTCATCCAGCGCAGCTCCTGGAGCGAGCAAATGGTGAAACTCGCCAAATGGTTCGGCTCCGAAGGGTCCGGTGGACACAAATATACGGCGACGATGATCCCCACGCCGCTGTTCTGCTCTCCAGAGTAAATACAGAGCGGTAACTCTCTTGATGAATGCTCGGTCGACATAAAAACAATGGCCGCCAACGGATATCGATTCTGACGCGCGTAAATTTCGCTTCAAACTTTTGTTTTTACGCGCGCCAGTTTCGCTCTTGACACGCGAATTAACACAAAGTGGTCAAGCGTCAAACTAGACGCGTCAGGCGCGAATTTGACGCGCGATTCGCGTCCGGTGTGAACGTAGCATTAGACAGTTTAAGCTCAATAAGCCACTTTGATTCTCGTGAGCTGTTTGAGAGGCGGCTTTATGTGTGCAACACAAAGGCCCTGTTTACACAAGAACGCTCGCGGGTGAAAACGTAAAATGATGTGCCTTTCGTTTACACGGCGATTGTGTTTTTGGGGCTTAAAAACGCAAAAAAGTGAAACCACCCTCCAGAGTGGAAATCTTAAAAACGCTCCACCGTCACGTTCCCGTCCGAAAGGGTAAAAACGCAAAAGTCTGCTAGGCAGTGAAGGCACAGATCTGCTCACGGTGGCTTTCGTCACGTACGCATTTACGTCACAGGCATGCGCCAGTACAGGGAAATAACAATTACAGCAGTAACTCCACCTCCTCGTCTGTCTAGACAAAATTCGCAGCTTTTGCTGTATCGATACTGCAGATAAGGAGTATTCAACTATTTCTGAAATGTCTGTATCAATACATATCCAAATATTGATATTTTTGCCAACACTACTCCACCCTACCTACTTAACTAACTTCTTACCTAGCAATCTGAATACTGTTTTGATACAAATGATGGTCCCATTTTACAAAACATAAATTGTATTTTAAAGAATTTAACAAATGTGGTATTCACTTATTGACGTTTTCGGTGCACACGGGAAAGACCTCACTAGCCGATAATGAAATTCTCAATAATTAACGGTTGTATTGAATAGTAAATGCAGCCTTTGATTAAAGGGATACTCCACTTTTTTTGGAAATAGGCTCATTTTACCACTCCCCCAGAGTTAAAACAGTTGAGTTTTACCGTTTACGAATCAATTCAGCCGATTTTAGAAGAATATCAGTAACCAGACAGTTTCTGCTCCCATTGACTTCCATAGTAGGAAAAAAATATACTATGGAAGTCAATGAGACCAGAAACTGTCTGGTTACTGATATTCTTCTAAATATCAAAAAAATCGTCTGAATACGTTCAAAAACGGTAAAACTCACCTGTTTATCTCTTGGGGAGTGGTAAAATGAGCTTATTTCCAAAATAAGAGGAGTATCCCTTTAAATCACATGTTTTAGAGGCCAATTTGCACCTGCATTTTGCACTGTTCATGAATGTTGATAGCACAAATACCCGCACATGACTCACTTCTCTTTTCATCCAGCTGGTTGAGTATTTCCAGCAGCTGTGGGTGCATGTTGTTGATGGACTGGAATAGAGAGAGCACGGAGCTGTCATTGGTGATGCTGCGGCCACGCATGTGGTTGCTCTTCATGCGGTTAAGGAAAGTGGTGACGGCATTCTGCAAGGCCTTCAAGAACTGCTCGTGGTTCTCCTCAGATTCTCCATTCTGATACTGCTGCTGAAAAAACAGACGCAAGACACTCAGCGGAGAACATGAGTCATGTTAAACAGCGACTATCCATTTTAGAGCTCCAAGTACCTCCACTATGTTGATGGGTTGGACTGGAGCGTGGATTTCCACTGGTTGGCTGATTGGCACGGGCTCAGCCAATGAAACAGGAGCAGGAGCAGAGGGGGTGGGACTCTTGCGAACCTCTTCCTGTTTCTTCTCCCAGTAAGTTCTGTTCAGGTAACGGGCCAGCTGAAAAAAAAATTTCACAATATTACAGTATTTTTGAGTATTGGCCACGGAATAAAACCATTTAAAAGATAATTGTGATTTTTTTCGACTTCTTTTCTTAGAATTGTGAAACATAAACTTGCAATTGCGAGTTATAACGTCAAATTCTGAGGAAAAAAGACGTACTTTTTTTTCTAAGAATTGCGACTTTATCTCACAATTGATTTTTTTTCTAATTCTCTAGTTTTCTTTAGTCATAAAGTCAGAATTCTGTGATACAAAGTCGCAAATTGATCGGAAACCGCTTTTTTCCACTTGGACTTTATAACTCACAATTTATTTATTCAGTGGTGGAAAAAAGCTTCCATATTTGAGACTTATTTTGAATAATTTTGCAAAACTTCAGCATATTTACTTTACTAATACACATTCATAGTCTTGATATGAGGGGATCGGATGAACTATATAGTTTGTGCGTTTATTGCCTAAAATCACTTGTACTCCTCAATTGTAATTCACTTTGGTGACTTAAAAGTGTCTCCAAAATGGATAAATGCAAGTGTGACTATATTGTTTTTACCTCAGGATCCACGTCTTCGGCTGATGGAGCCGATGAGTTCTGAAATGTAAAAAGGGGAACAATTTAGCCTCTAAAGATAAATGTCATCTTCAATGGATTACTTAAATGAAGGTCTCTTACCACAGGTGAGGAGTAGAGGGTGCTGACAGGAGGGGCAGAGGAAGTCACAGGGGTGGGATCTGCTTTGGGGTACGCAGAGTAAGGGTTCTTCTGTCTCTGTAAACACACACACAAACACAATCATCACGTGTCCCTTCATTTCTGCAGACAGCAGCGCTAGCTTGTCGCCGTCTCACCATCCTCTCCTTCTCCTCCGCTTCACTCTGAGACAGTGCGATGGCCAGCTGCAGCTCCTCTTCCTCCTGCAGCGCGGCCTCGTCTCTTTTCGGAGGCATCTGAGGAGCAGAGCAGCAAGACATGGTCAGGACGAAACCACAGGCAGGTGAGGAGAGGGGGCTGGGTGCATTTTCATTCAAATTTGGTTTGATTTAGGCACACATAGACATTTTAGCGGACACATTTTAAATAACAATATTGGCCAGTATTAAAGGAGTAGTTCACTTTTGAAAAAACTTTTGCTGATAATTTACTCACCCCCATGTCATCCAAGATGTCCATGTCTTTCTTTCTTCAGTCGAAAAGAAATTAAGGTTTTTGATGAAAACATTCCAGGATTTTTCTCCATATAATGGACTTGCATGGGAACCAGACGGTTCAAGGTCCAAACGACAGTTAATAACAGTTTCAGATGCAGCTTCAAATGTCTTTAAACGACACCAGACGATGAATAAGGGTCTTATCATGCGAAACGATCGGTTATTTCAAAACTTATTCCAAAAATGTAACTTTTCTAAGGACAAATGCTAGCTTTGCTCTAGTCTGTGAGGCGCGTTTGTAACGTCACGTAATACGTAATTACGTTCAAAAGGTCACGGGCGACGTAGCCGGAAGTACAGAATCAAAATCGTCCGACATCGTTGTTTTACCTTTTAATTCCTTTTTTTGTAAACGCCGTTTGAGTTAGTTTGCACGTTCAACCTATGGTTTCAACTTGTAAACACTCTGACTCTGTACTTCTGGCTACGTCGCCCGTGACCTTTTGAACGTAATTACGTATTACGTGACGTTACAAACGCGCCTCACAGACTAGAGCAAAGCTAGCATTTGTCCTTAGAAAAGTTACATTTTTGGAATAAGTTTTGAAATAACCGATCGTTTCGCATGATAAGACCCTTATTCATCGTCTGGTGTCGTTTAAAGACATTTGAAGCTGCATCTGAAACTGTTATTAACTGTCTTTTGGACCTTGGACCGTCTGGTTCCCATTGAAGTCCATTATATGGAGAAAAATCCTGGAATGTTTTCATCAAAAACCTTAATTTCTTTTCGACTGAGGAAAGAAAGACATGGACATCTTGGATGACATGGGGGTGAGTAAATTATCAGCAAAAGTTTTTTTCAAAAGTGAACTACTCCTTTAAAATGCGATACTATTGGGTCTACAAAAACATTATATCATGAGTTTACAGTTTAAATTGAAATTAATAATAATTAGTAATTAATAAGTGGTCATATCACTGCCTTCCACCGATTCAGAAAAGTTCAATTATAAATAAAATAAAACACCAACACTGATACTGATATACTGTACATTTATATTAAAGGTGAAGAGTGTAATTTCTACACTATTAACAGCACCAAATTAAAACGCAATATGTTTGCCCGACAAAACATTTGGTGCGAAACTGCTTAATTGGTGTGAAAATACACCACTAAAAGTTTTTAGTCAGTAAGATTTTTTTAAAGCAATGAATACTTTCATTCAGCAAGGATGCATTAAATAGATCAAAAGTGACAGTAAAGATATTTAAAGGGATACTCCACTTTTTTTGATAATAGACTCATTTTACAACTCCCCCAGAGTTAAACTGTTGAGTTTTACAGTTATTGAATCCATATAGCCGATCTCCGGTTCTGGCGGTACCACCTTTAGCATAGCTTAGCATACATCATTCGATATTTTTCCTAAAAACTTGACTCTTCTGTAATTACATTGTGCACTAAGACTGACGGAAAATGTTAAGTTGTGATTTTCTAGGCTGATAAGGCTAGGAACTATACTCTCATTCCTGCGTAATAATACAGACCCTTCACTGCCGTACCACGAGTGCAGCAGGCGTAATGATATGACGCAGCGTCTGAAAATAGGCATCCTTCCATCAACATAACCAACGTGAAAACCTGCTGAGCTGGGGACTATTTTCAGGCGCTACGTCATATCATTACGCCTGCTGCACTGATGGTACGGCAGTAAAGTTTCTTGATTATTACGTAGGAACGTATTGAAACTCTTTGGTCATTTTTTTATTGTCCACTTCAATGATGTATGCTAAGCTATGCTAAAAGTGGTTTGATGTATAAGTGATTGCAATAGGCCTGTGTGTGTGAGAGAGAAATATCTATTTACTGCAAGCCTATATTTATTTTATACAGTTATTTATATTGCCATTACCTGTTTTCATGCAGAAGTTTAGTTTGCTAAATATATACATTTTTTAAGTTGGTTATTTGGTGTGAAAAGGAAATGGTTCTTCCATGACACTGCACTTTAGATGTGTGTGAATTTTCCACACCAGGAGTAATTGAATTGTAATCGGTGCATCTCTAAAAAACATTTTATAAAATCTTACCAACCCCGAACTTTTTAGCAGTGTTGCAATTTATACTGGCAAATAAACAACCTATTCTGTTTGGTCAAATTAGGGTCACAGAAATGACACACTTCACCTTTAAATGTTGCGTTCATCACTGATTGGAGTGGGATTGACAGTAAGCACACAAACTGGACAGTAATATGTGCTCTCACTCATGAGCCTCAAAATTGCTTCGCATTTAAGATCCGAATAAACTGGTGATGATGATTAAACTCTTGTTTTGTTGTCCGTTTCTATAAATGTTGGTGGCATGCTTCATAATTGTGACGCCCATGAGAGTGAGCCCTCAATGAAATGTAACTACTTACTGCTTCGGTGGGCACTACCTGAGACTGCTGGGACAGAGGGCTGGTCAGGTACTCAGGGGGAAGCTCGGACTGCCCAGCGCTGGCGGCCTTCCCTTCAGCTTTTCTAGGAGGGGGAGAGAGGGACGGGTGGCTGGTGAAGAGGAGGGTTTAGGAGACACAATCAACCAGGTCAATCTCTGGAAGTCAGCAGGACTATGAACATGAGGGACAACTCAAAGATAATATTACAATACGAAAAGATATTACAATACAATAGATTGTAATAGAACAAAAAAGGGGGGGTTAAAAGCAGCAAAATGCAAAAACCTATTGAGCAACCTTTCTATCCAATGACTACATAACATTACTGAGATGGGTCACTGATACGGGACACTCTGCATAGGCAGCGACTGTCACTTTTGATCAATTTAATACATCCTTGCTGAATAAAAGTATTAATTAGCAAAAAAAAAGAAAGAAAGAAAAAAGCGCACTGTCCGCAAACTTTTGAATTAGGGCTGAACGATTTGGGAAAATAATCTAATTGCGATTTTAATCTTCTATATTATTCAACAAAGACTTCAACAAAGCAATAAATCATTGTATGGTATGACCAACACAATATTAGATAGTTTAAACATAAACTGTTCTTTGCTGTAGGCTAAACCCTATGCGTTACAGGGCTTTTCCTGGGTTAAAAAACACACACAGTCAATAATAGCCCTACCCATGTGATCTGCGAACAATAAATTTAAAATAAAAGCAAAAAAAAAAGTTAGTGATTTTTGCTGATCTTAATTTGATATCTCGTATTATGTGTGATCTCTTACCTTGATGTTTGTTTCTTTTGTTCCTCACTGATTACACTTGGTTGCCCCTCATTTTCTTCAGGACTGTGGCTGAGAATTATTCAGTTTACAAACTCTTCCAAATTATATATAAGCTATGCAATTATCAGACACTGATTAGATCCTTCTTTGCTAGACCTGTTGATTATTTTGGTATATGATATCAAAATTAAAAAGCATTTAAGAAAATAGCATTAAACTAATAGTCTCATTTTCTACAATATACAATTGAATAAAATTAGCAGCTAGCTAACAACAACTTGCTTCGTTCTGGTTTCACCTCACTTCAACCTATCGGAAATTATTTTATAGGTAATTTACTACACACTTGTCATATAAATAACCTGAAAATACAGTGGATAATTAAGGCTAATTCTTACTAGAAACTCTTGCTAAATGGGGTAAAGCACACTTGCGTTCTCATTTCAGAGGTGTTCTGGGTAAACGATTCGTAGTGATAGGTTGATCATGAACAATTTATTCATTTGGAACAAATCTTTATTATTACTCGAGTTGTCTCAGAAAGTGATTCGCTCATTTGTCTCGACAAACATCCTATAGACACGGTTCTGTACAGGAAACAGAAATGATTAGTCTTCGGGACGGAGATGTTTGTTCCTTTGTCATGTGACGTGACGGCTGTATTGGATACAGAAATTAGTTAATAATTCCCAAACTTTCTTACAAACAAGCGCGTAGTCAGTTTTTTCTTAACTCTGACATTTACGTGATGCATGTCTGGTCTCATATTGTAGGTTTTTAAATTCTTGCGATTTATAAATGTGCAAATTTATCTGAATGATGGGGAAAATCACTTTGATAAAGCAAATACCTACATATTATAACAGAACATACATTTATGTGACAAAATAATCGACTCGAACCCAAAGACACGAGAAGTGAACTAATAATTTCTGTATCCGGTACACAGCTTGTGAACATAGCTCAGCTTGTGCCTGGTTCAGATTACACAATTTTTTTGTCTGTTACGATAGTCACAGTTTCAGATTCCGCGATTTTGACTCCTAAAATCTTGTCGTGGACAAGTCACATGTCAGACTACACGTTGCTTTCTGACCTGTCATCGCATGCCGCGTGTGATGTTATCGAGAAGGCGAAACTATTAGTGACTTCCGGAAACGAACGTAAACAAACAATGGATGAAGCGGTGAGTGTTGTATTGGCTGTCCTGTGTTTAGAAAAAAGTAAAAAAAAACCGAAAGAAAACCCGACAATGGACACGTTCCTGGATTGCTCGAAGAGGACAGTATGGGCGGTCAATCCTCCAAAGAGAGAACCTGAGGTAAAATATTGTTTTCTTATATATTTTTACTTTTAGTTTTAACGTTAGCACCATCGTCTCTCTTTCGTTCCGCCATTTTTGAAAGTGTGTACGGAAAAGCTTCTGTGCTCCTATTGGTCAACCTCAAACATGTGACGGAACCGTCGTGGACGACCATAAAAAAATTAAACATGCTAGTCTTTTTGTCGTGAAGCATCGCAGACGCGACACACTATACGAGATGATACGATCGAATCTTGCGTCCTGACGCCCGTTGTGGTTTACGAATCCCCACGACACCCTACGTCAAACGGATCGTGCCAAAATTGGGCTAAAATCGTGTAATCTGAACCAGGCATCATGGAGATTTGGCGTGACAAAAGAATGAATGGCTCAGATTGGCATGTGAGGTAAACTTTCTCTCTTATTCAACATGTGATCAACGTTGCGTAAGTAGATGTGTTGGATAATTTGGCCATCAACACGTAATATTCTGTTGAAATGAACAAAATTATGTGAAAAAAAACATTTGTCCACTTAAATTGATGAATGAGATTCAAAGATCCGAGTCAGGAAAATGATCCGAACTTCCCATCACTATTATACACCGATTCAGACAGTGACTTCATATTGCGATATTATCGCAAACGCAATTAATCGTTCAGCCCTATTTCGAATGGTAGTGTGTCAAACGCTCCCCACCCCAAGCATGATACTCGAATCACAATTGATTTCAAAATTTGGCAGCTGTATGAACAAAAACAAAAATCATTTTTGTGCGATTTATTTTAGGCCTCATGACAGAAAAAACTAAATGAACTTTATGAACTAAATGAACAGCACAGTAGCTGTGTTTCTATCCACTTATTTTATTAAGAATTTGGTGATATTACATAATTTTTTTAAGAAGCGTCAAGATGCGAGTAAATTCAAAAAATTTCATTTAGGTGGACATTTTTTTTATCCATTAAGAAGACTGGACTAAACCAGCAGACCAATCGCATCACAGCATCTCAAATGTTAGTTTGATTGTTCTGAAATGCCAGAGTCTGTCATGAATGATTTGCTTTAATTCCCTCGCAGAAGCGTCACACGACTGCATTCCCAAACATAAGGTGTCCGAATACAAGATAAAATGACCGTGTCTGAGTTTCATCTGCATGCTCTGAACAGCAAAATATTCTTAATATATTACTAATATTCTGCACAAAATACCCAGGAGGCGACGATTTTGTTTTCTTAAACAAAAGGTATGAAAACACTGATTTAGTCGCAAATTTGTCAAGCATTATTCCAATTTTGCGCATAAATTAAATCCCCAACATTGTATTGAAACATAGCAAGTTATAGATATCAGTCTTCACATATACTCACTTGTTGAGAATCTCAAAGCAGGGCTCACACACTCGCACCTCCTTCTCAATGCCAAACTTGGGAATGGTAGAGTACTTGGAAGAGCACTTCCCACAGAAGATCTGCCCACATGCCCTGCAGTGGTGCTGAATGAAGATCCACCAGCCATTATACATCATGAGATCAGCTTATTCGGGCCAGTGCTCCTCAAACCTGTCCTGGAGCCCCCCCATCACTGCACATTTTAGATGTCTCCAACATCAGGCACCCAATTCAACGCGGAGTTTGAAATTGCCCCCTAAAATTCCCTACATTACTCCACTAATATTGTCCACGAATACGAGTGAGTGAATTTGGACACTGAGTGTGCCGGATGGGCAGCTGCATATGCATAGTTTTGGTTTGCAGTTTTATTTTTTTTTTTTATAAACTTAGCAAACTGGCAGCTCCAGTAGTGAAGAAAAAAAATGATCTTGAACTCATGGTCATGGAAACTAGCATGTATGAACCTTAATTAAACAATAATCATTTAAAAAGGAATTTATCCCAGTATGATATTACACCGTACCCACATTGGACCAGCAGTTTGGGAAACGGATGGATGGATGGATGATTCAGCTTAGTGCAAGACGTGATCATTCATTTTTATGCGTCAGTCAAAGTGCATTGTGGGTATTCTCTAGCCATTGAGTGCACATAGGTTGTACACTCATAATTGCGGTGCATTGTACAACATGGTTTCGGACACCACTAAAAACGGCTGTCCCCTCAAACAGTGTCCTATTTAAGGGTATAGGGGACGATTTTGGAGGTCTTGCAGTCTGTACTAATGAGCTGATGAGTTGAATCAAGTGTGTTAGATGAGGGAGACGTACAAAATGTGAAGTGGTGAGGGTCCTCAGGACATCTTTTGAGAAACACTGAAATAGGCTACTTCATAAACATTATATAGTTCAGTATGGTAGATTATCAAAGGAACAGTTTGTACCTTTCGGGTCATAACACCAAACTGAACCCTACATCTGTGACACTCCTCTGCATCCACCCAATCAGGGGCCTGATAAAAACACACACACAAAAAAAAAAACACATGACAAACCAAACACCAGAGAGTGTGCAGAACGTATTCGCTTTACTCAACAGTTATTCTTACCCTCTCTGCTGCAAACATGGCATCACTCTCCTTGAACTCTGGGAAGACATGACCTGTTCAAGTAGAGGTGATTGTGTTTCTTTAAAAAGTGTCACAGCAGTCATTAAGCAACTCTTCTTGTTGTGATGCCACATACAGCATTTTTAGCATTATCTATTGTCGTGGTAGTTGGTACATTGTTGGTAGGCAGCACAAATGCTCAAAACAAATGGTCGACATTATATATCGACATCATCAAGGACAATATAACAGATGATATTTGTCAGTTTTTAATTATTGATACTGGCTAGATGGTTTTTTTTATGTATGGACATTGGCCAATGTGTCGGAAGTGAGACTTTTATTTTGAAAGCGCTGAGAACGCCAGTGCCTGAGCATCCAAGCTCCCATTCTGCATCTTTATTAGTTTATTTTCTGTTGATCAGTTGTCAAATACTTATATTAGACAGAACAGCTAAACAAAGAACGTAAATGGTCCACTCAAAGCTATTATAGCATTTGTTTTTCTATTATTAGTAATATAATGGCAAACGCTACAACAGGCCCTAATCTACCATCAGCAAATACACATTTATATCATTAAAACAAGTCTTTGAATATCTAATAAGCATCGAAATTCACAGCTGTGCGGACACGATTATGCGAGAGACGGAGAGTGTCGTTAATATCGGTCGATCACCATCCAAATTAACATAATTTTTTTGGTACATTTTTATTTAAAACGAATCAAGTTATTTATTATTATTTATTTAAATTTAGTTGAATAGGGACAAGTATGTTACATAAGCTCGTGTTCCATACTACAAGATTTTAGCAGAGGCTAACTCTCAATGTTAGTCCCATTACATAAAACAAAGTGTTATAAAGTGTTTTTGCTATTTGGCAAGTGTTTGTTTATAACTGGCAGTGGTGTATAATATATCATATCATTTTAGCTACTGCAAATCACTGTATGTGTGAAGTCCCTTCAGTTTATGAATCTTACCTTCCACCTTCATGATCTGATAGGTATCCTGGACGACTTTGTACTTGGGCTCGTTGCGGAAGGCGTGGGACCAGGCCTGGATCAGATAAAGGATCTTGTTCTTCACGTTCGGTTCGGGTTGTTTCTAAACACAGAAGAGTCACATTCTCTCAGTGAAAAATAAAAACAAGCTCTGACCTCAGAAGTTGTCTAACCAGCTCATAAAAACACAACAATATATCAAGCCTCAATAAACCCACCTCAAATTCTTCTCTGGAGTTGCTAATCTCACAGAAAATCAACAACAGAGCTCCAAATGCAACGTTTAGTTTGTGATTTCTGCTGGAACTCCCCTCAGCAAAATAAACATGTGACGACGATGACACAATCAGGAAGTACATGATTCACTGGGTCTGACCCACTTGGAACGATCATAAAGGCGGTGCCAGAGACTCTTAAAGCAACAGTCTACAGGACAGACAGGTTGAGTTTAGCAGCACTCACCTTGAAAAGCTCCTTCAGCTCTTCCATTGTCTGCTTACAGGCCACTTCATCATGAATCGTCTGGCCACAGTTCTTCACCACTGACTCCAGGACCTGTTGACAAGCAAATGCTAACTTACACACGTGACCTTGACTGGTCGGGGGCACAACGCAAAACTTATATTTTTATAATCTCTTGTATTAACTATGTATGTATGTATGTATGTACCCAACATTAAAGTGCTATGTATATGCTATTTTAAAGGGATCCAGTTTTGTTTTTTTAAGTCTCCTACAATTGGTTAACATGCATACATGTTCAAAAAACACTTTCATTTTCTTATAATACATGACCTCATTTCTCAGTGTTATCTTCAAAACGCATGACGGAATTTCTGTCATCAAGAAATTACAAAATTATACGCCGTGCTTGAAAGAGCGCTAGATTGTGCACCTGAACCGAATGCATCTCTCCCTGCTCATCATGACCAAAGGAATACTCTTTTTACTCCTTCACCTTTGAAAGGCTTGCAAGCACAACTCTGAACAAGACAGAGAGGAAATCATAAAATGAAGTATACTCGAGCCTTAAGACCGGTAGACCAATCACAACAGACTGGGGCTGCGTCTGAAATCGCGTACTATGTGAGTAGGTACTACATTTAAATGAGAACGTACTTCGTGACCGTTAAAAAAGTATGTTCTATATTGTACGAATACGGGTAGTATGAATGAGTCCGGACGTCCTACATGCGCCATGTTGCTGTCACAACAGTGCGAAAATTTAAAGAGCCCATTCCAGTGACTGCACCAACTTCGCGCTGTTTTTAGCTCTGCTTTCTGTTTTCATTTGCGTTTTTTACGTCGTCCGAGCCGACAATAAAGTCGGTCAGCTGCTCACAGATCACGCCTTTTGTGGAGTTTCTCAAATAACATTTATTTATCTATTAAATTTGACCTCATAAAACACACACATAACCCCTATGAACAATGACAGATGTTGATTTTTGGTAAGGAAAAAGCCATTTATTTTCTTGTTATATTTCCATCAATAAATAAACATGAATGAATCAATAGAGATATACATGTGTGTCTGTGTTTATCTCCTAATGTTACAGCCACATCTCCGGTTTCCGCCATTTTCAAATATAACGACAACAACTCCTCTCCCGTGGCATCATGGGATAGTAAAGTGTCCATCGTGTGCGCACTTCAGAATCTCGCCGGAAGTAGTAGGTCATCCGGGTACTTTTCGCCTACTGTTTTTATACTACTCTGTTCGCGTACTGTTTTTCGCATACTATATAGTAGGGAAGTAATCAATTTCGAACGCAGCCTGGGTCATCTGCCCAATCAGAGCAGAGTAGATCAATCACAACAGACTGGGTCATCTGCCCAATCAGAGCAGAGTAGATCAATCACAACAGACTGGGTCATCTGCCCAATCAGAGCAGAGTAGATCAATCACAACAGACTGGGTCATCTGACCAATTAGAGCAGAGTAGACCAATCACAACAGACTGGGTCATCTGCCCAATCAGAGCAGAGTAGACAAATCACAACAGACTGGGTCATCTGACCAATTAGAGCAGAGTAGACCAATTACAACAGACTGGGCCATCTGACCAATCAGAGCAGAGTAGATCAATCACAACAGACTGGATAATCTGCCTAATCAGAGCAGAGTAGAGTAGACCAATCATAACAGACTGGGTCATCTGTCCAATCAGAGCAGAGTAGACCAATCACAACAGACTGGGTCATCTAACCAATCAGAGCAGAGTAGACCAATCACAACAGACTGGTCCATCAGACCAATCAGAGCAGAGTAGAACAATCACAACAGACTGGGTCATATACAATACTATACGTAAAGCTGTGACACAACAGACTGGGTCATCTGCCCAATCAGAGCAGAGTAGACCAATCACAACAGACTGGGTCATCAGACCAATCAGAGCAGAGTAGACCAATCACAACAGACTGGGTCATCTGACCAATCAGAGCAGAGTAGACCAATCACAACAGACTGGGTCATCTGTCCAATCAGAGCAGAGTAGATCAATCACAACAGACTGGGTCATACTGGGTCATATACAATACTATACGTAAAGCTGTGACACAACAGACTGGTCCATCTGACCAATCAGAGCAGAGTAGACCAATCACAACAGACTGGTCCATCTGACCAATCAGAGCAGAGAATGCTCACAGAAAGAAGGGGTTTAGAGAGAATCTTCTGAAAAGAAGTGATGCTACAATGTATATTATATGAAAATTAAAGTGCTTTTTAACCTTGGATGCATGAAACCTGTTGTAGAAGACCTCTAAAACAAAATTTAAAATCGCACAATAGGGACACTTTAATGCATGTCTTTTATCCATTTAGTAATTTATCTATAAACCTTTGTTTCTCAATTCCTCAACATATTGAAGATGATTTCCACTTACCTCAAGAGCATAGAGTGCTACATGTGGATTTTTGTCATTGAGTTTTTTCTTGATGGCACCGATTGCATATTTTGCCCTGGTGGTGGGAAATGACAAAACAGTACATAAGGAAGTCGAGACAATATTTATGACTCCTGCTCTTACACTGATATGCAAACATGACCAAATGTTTTATGTTCTTACTGCGTATCGCCTTGCCGAATGAGGTCACATATCTGCAGAATGGACTCCCAGTCGGTCTCCAGCAGCAGCTGGCTGGTAGCCTTATCTGTAAAGGATTGGAGGATCACATGTCTGATCAGAATCAATTCTCTCAAAGTCTGTTTACTCAAAACATGGGAAAAGAAAGAGGAAAAGAGTAAGACCATGTTCAGGTTTGACAGTACAGACTCTTGCACCGACATCACAGCGTAAGCTGGAGGCAAAACCAGAGGAAATGTTTTTTTACCCGGAACTTCATTTAGACCCTGGTACCCGAGTACCACCCCAAAGTTCCTAGTTCCTGGGGAAAGTTCCTGCGGTGGAAACGCGGCTTAACTCTAACTCTCCATCTATCTCTATAGTAACAAATATGCACTTTTACCAACACGATACCGAAAAATAATAATAATAGCATCCATATTATTTAAGTTCTGATTTAGGGCTAGGTAATACAATATATTTTTTAATACATACAGACACACATAAATATATATATATATATATATATATATATATCAAACTTTTTGCTTAATTGTATGGAGGGCTGCACAATTAATCGAATTTGTAATCGCGATTACAGATATGGATGCCACAATTATGTAATCGTTCAAAGGCACAATTACAAAAAGTCCACTTACATTATTCTGTGTGCTTAAAATGTTTGTTTTTTTACAGCTTATCTTAAGGGTTTTTTCCCCCATTGTTTTAATTTTAGTTAGTGTAACATTATAATTATAATTAGCATTAAAGCAACACTATCTAACATTGTTTACTTAAAATAATGTTTCTAAAATCTTATCAGTGGTTCATCAAGTCGTAACAGGGTGAACGGCACTTCTGCCGTCGCCTGACGGGGTCTGTATCACTTTTACTGGCACTATGTAACTTCGGGGTTCGGGTAGGAACCCGACCACAAAAAGAACTACAAAATTCGACTGCTTTACATCAAGCACTACAATAGTCATTATTTCGTTTTTCTTCGTTTCTGATGTCGCAATACATCATCCTTTCATGAAATCATGTGACATACTCTAGTTGTCTGTGGACATCATTAATTCTAAAGCCGGTGCTGGATAAACAGCGAGCGTGCGTGCGACGGTAGGCTAAATTATTTACGACAGCGGCAATGGACAATTTCGTTTCCAACCAGTAGGGCGACCGAAGAGGAAAAGTTACTTGGTGTTACTTGAAGTTACTTGTAGAAAAGCATTTAAAAAGTTAAAAGCATTTAAAGTTACTTGTAGAAAAGCATTTAAAAAGTTAAAAGCATTTAACGTTACTTGTAGAAAAGCATTGAAAGTTTTTCAGGAGTTTTCAGACGTTTTATTTTGATATAACAATTTGCATGCAGTGCAGTCACTTCGAACAATGGCATACAGCTGTTCAAAACATCATTCAATGTAAATTGTGATAATCGTAATTAATAATCGCAATTATAATTTCAAGGCAATAATCGACAATTATGATTGTCATAATCGTGCAGCCCTAATTGTATGTGATTATTTTGTTATAGTTTTTTTTTTTTTACTTTTTTAAAAAATGCGTTTAAATTTATTTAATTGCATATTTTCATTTGAGTTTTAATGTTTGTTTTTTCCATTATTAGTCTTCTAAAGCGCTTTGAGATGCAACTTTGATAGGCGCAATTAAAAAATTGTATTCTTTGTATTGTGTGCACCAATTATATAACACAAACAGCATTTACCTTCATATTTTAAAAAAATTACACAATATTCACAAAAAAGAACAAAAACTTCAACTTTAATTGATTATTTTGTTGTTGTTCACTACCCCGATCAATCAGAAATGTACACAAATTAATCAATATTTCACAATTACAATATGGATGGATGGATGGATGGATAGATAGATATTAGTGAAGTTTTGGAAATGGAGCTGATGAGTGAAACAGGAAGTTACTGTTATGTGGTGAATCTGTATGTAAATGGACCACAACATCCTCTCTCTCTTTACTTGAGCTCTCGATTACATGAGCAAACAGCAAACAAGAAGAACCAACCGTGGCTAACGGGAATACACTAAAACAGACCTTCAAAATCCTCAAATGACACTTTTCCAAAAGGTGTGAGCAACTGTAAACATAAATAATTATTTGAAACGCAATTAAGTTACAATGCCAAATTAAATGTGCGGTAGAATTGCCTAGTCAACAGCAAATTTTCCCAATGACAAACAAACTTCATTGTCAATTACATCAGACACACACGACAGAGTACATAAAGGGAGAAACGCAAAAATGATTAGTTATTTTATGATTTTTGAAGCTTGTGGAATAGAGGCCTGAAAATAGATTTAGCTCCGGAGCGCTGCTAACTAACTTAGCTAACATTGGATAACGTCATTGATTTATTTAAGACAATAACAACACAATAAAGTTGAACTGAACTGAACAGGATAGTCACAATGTCATGTTTAAGGCCGTGTTTTTGAATGTTCGATGGGAAAAATCAAGACAATAGATGTTGAGGGCTAACATCACCGTGACTATTGAAGCTGGGCTAACGTTAGCATTAGCAGACTCATCGGTCTTGTCAGTTAGAATTAACAACGATAACATCAAATATAATACATACCCAACAGTCTCTCAAATGTTCCGCCGCCTTTGCCCATGTCTAATGTCTGATTTCTGGACGGTCTAAGTCTGTTTTGCTGTCTGTTGTTTCACCTGTGTGAATTCACTGCCGGGTAACACGCGCATGCGCACAAGAAAAACGCGTTTGTCAAATAAAAGTCGCTGTATAGCATTATAGTCATTAGTCACTCCCTGTACAGCCAGCCAGAGTGATTAAAAAGAGTCTGATTTGTTATCTAATGCCATTAGTATTTATAATAAAAGATGTAGGCTAATAGATGTAATAAAATAATAAAAGATGTAATTTAAAATATTTTATTTTTATTTGTATTATTTTGCCCATTCTGGTGCTATCACAATACAACAAATGCATGTTTTGTTGATCATATCGCCAGTTTGATACAGTGTGCCAGTCATTTTTGTTATGATGCAATGAATTTGCAGCATGAAAACGCTGTTACTCCAACCCTCTTCTTACTAAAGTACCGTGAAAGAGTTACCTATGTGACAATGCCCTGACCTGCCCTGAATGTAACAGGTGTGTCCTGATTAGTGTACTTATGCACTAAGCCATTTTGGTGTAAGTGTTCATACTAAACATTCCAACAACAATGTTGAACACTTCATCAACTGTCACAGCTTTACGTATAGTATTGTAGGAGCTATCAGATCTGGATTGTGACAAAATAACCTTCATATTTTCAATAATTTTCACATGATGGAAGAAGAATTCGTAGTGTAAGTACATAGTGTATAGTAGCTCAAGTGGGGCACAACTTATGTCACCCTGGCAGACATATTGTGCCATTTATAAAAAAATATAAGCCCTTGTGCCAACCACCCCTAAGGCTTCTCCATCCCTTATTCTCTAGCAGTCAAGACAACAATAAGCACTTTTTTATATTTTACAACCCAGGATATTCACTCGTAGCATTAGGTCATACATGAGTCACTACCTGGCGCAGTAAACAATGCAGCTATTGTAAATGCTGTGCAGCAGCATACAGTGGTATTGTACTGCGGTCTATAGATGCAGAGCAGCCCCCAGATGCTCAGAGAGTCAAGACAACACGAGCAGAGAATATCTTCATCGGCTGGACTGTTTACATGAGATTTATATGCTATTGTAAAACAAAAATGTGTATCAGATATTCTCTCCTAAAACTTTGTGAATGATCTTTAGCTTAATGGCCTTAAAAAGACCCATAGATCTATGTTATAATTGTATTGTTTTGTATTGTTTGTATTGTAATATGTATTGTTATAATTAGATTAAATGAGAATCTGCATTCTGTATTTCAGTTTTGAATTCATTAAATGAGCAAAATCGAAAGTTGATTGGATGATTCCAGCTGTTGCTTTGCCTTCTGTTGTTGTCAAAGGGGCCTTCTGTTTTATAGGCATGTCTAACCAATAAATCAGTCAGGCCTAGTTTTATATTATCTGTTTTGGTCGATAAACAGTTGTGGGCCTAGAGTTGTAAAATCGAGGTTAATCCTTTGTAAACTAAGGGTTCATTTAAACTGACATATTTTAGTACATCTAATTTGCTATCATTAAATTATGAACATGTCAGTTAACCAAAGTATTCTATCTACACCATATTGATAGAATTTGTATAGCCCACTCCAATGTTGTTTGGACAAAAATATCTATTTTAGAACATCGATTTTGTGAAGAAAGAAAATCACACAATGAATTTTCTTTTAAGAACAACTATTGATGTGACACCTCTAAAATTTGATGTATGGTATTCCATTAAATAATATGAACCTTAAAGGGATAGTTCATGAATATTCAGTCATCATACGCATGTCATTCCAAACTCATAGGTTTTTGTTCATCTTGAAAACACAAATGAAGATATTTTAATGAAACTGGAGAGATTTCTCTCTCCACTGAAATTCCATTGAAAGACATCACATGAGTTATACAAATGAATCAAGCGGTTTTATAAAAGTCTCCTGACGAGGCAAGAACGCTTTGTATGATGCACAGATTTAATAGGCTTTTATTTACATATCAATATTGATCAAAGTATACATTCAATCTCACATACTTGCTTGATGTGTGCAGAGTACACAGCTTCATTACATGAGTAAAAGTACCCATACCCCTTGCTAAATTTTACTCAAGTACAAGTAAAAGTACTGCAGTCAGATGTCTACTTAAGTAAAAGTACTGAAGTACTTGTTTTTAGAAGTACTTGAGTATCAAGAGTACAAGAGTACATTTTCTAAATATTGCATTACTACTGTCACAGTGCTTACATTTATGTACAGAAACGTCCTACATGGAGTTATGAAAAATGTTAATGTTAATACCTTGAAGAATGTAAAAGGAATTGAAAGTAAAATCGAGTAATATTCATCTTTTTACCATGTTGCTTTAATCCACAAGTTAATTGAATTTTTGTAGGTGGTGATGAAGTTCTGTTATACAGCAAACACTCGAAGTGAAAACTCTTCGGGTACTCACACTTATGCATAGAAATGTAGTGAAGTAAAGAGTACAATATTTGCCTCTCAAATGTACTTGAGTGAAGTCATGAGTACTCCCCAAAAATGATACTCGAGTAAAGTACAGATCCCTCAAAATTGTACTTACAACCCGGTCTCATCCCAAGACGTCATATAACTGACGTTTTGGGATGTCTTTTGACCATACGTCAATATTCGCCTTTTTAGGGCCCCCTTAAACGTCGGTAGATGAGGTTATGGGATCCTAACTCTACCCCAGACCTAAACCTAACCCTAAACCTAACCCGTCACCTAACTGACGTTAAAGGTAAAGCGTCAGTTGTATGACGGCCCGGGATCGCCATCTACCGACGTTTAAGGGGGCCCTAAAAAGGCGGATATTGAAGAGACAAAAGACGTCCCAAGACGTCAGTTATATGACTTTTTGGGATGAGACTGTGTTAGTACTTAAGTACTGTATATGTAGTAAATGTACTCCCTTACTGTACAGCTCTGGATGTGTGAGATCCACTAAGGTTTGTTCTTGTTTGTCAGGCAAACACGGTTGATCTTTCAATAGAGAGACTATTGACTATTTATTTGTGTTTTAAAGGTGAAAGAAAGTCATATGGGTTTGTAATGGCACTCATAGAGTGAGTAAATGATGAGAGAATTTCCATTTTAGTGTGAACTATCCATCTTATTGTACCTAACATGAGTAAATGTGTCTGCGCTACACAAAATGTCAGATACTAAGTGAAATCATCAGCATCTTCTTGAACAGATGGACATCCAAATAATTCAGAGAGGACATTATAAAGGATTTAAAGTTTTATTATTGAATAACATAACAGACAAATGCAGAAAAAGACAGACTTATAAGTGGAGTGGACATTAGAGGTGGCAAGGAAACTTCATTTCACATTTCTATTCACTACCTCCATCATACGACAGAAATATTCTGAATGATAAAAAATAGATGAGAATTAACTTGAATCTATCACAATGGGAAACTCTAGCAGAGAAGGCTTTCGGGGGCCGGCGCGTCGCTGCTGGTCATTAAACATAACCCTTGACCTGGCCAGCTCCAGCTCGGCGTGGGCTGCTGTCGCCGCTGCTAAACGTGGGAGAGGAGGGAATCCCGGGGGGATTGGACCCCGCGTAGAGGAGCGATCCACCGATCAACAGCAAAGCCGAACCCCCCCATCCCAGGTAGAGTGCGGGGCCGAGCTCACGTTTGTGAGGGGCCGCCACATAGGGGTCATAGAAATCCTTAATGATGGAATGGGCCGTCCAGGAGACGGGCACGAGGATGAGGAAACCTGCGATGACAAAGAGTATGCCCGACACGCGGGCCAAACGCGCCTTGAGGCTTGGGAGGCCGACGCACTGGGTGCACTTGATTCCCAGAACACCCAGCGTGAGCGACAGGGTGCAGATGAGCAAAGCGAGAACCGTAAGGCCCCGGGCGGCCTTCATGTCACTCGGGAGAGCCAGCAGGCTGTCATACACCTTGCATTGAATCTCCCCTGTGCTCTGCCAGATGCAATTCATCCACAGGCCCTCGCATGTGATCTGCGCCGTTACAATGTTGTTCCCGATAAAGGCAGTGACCCTCCACATGGGAAGGGTGCACACCAAGAAGCCGGCGACCCAGCCGATGATGGACAGGACCAGGCCGAGCAGCTGCATGCCGGTGGTTGCCATGATGAATCTTTCCCAAGAATGATCACTTGGAAGAGTCCAAAGAATTGCACAGACAGAAACCTTCGATACACTTCAAGGTCAGCGAGAACTGCGAAGACAAAGTCCTTTCCCTTTCTTCGTGAGTTCCAATAAAGAAATGGCGTAGTAGACTGGCAAGTGGACCTAAAGATTGGAACAGAGGACAGGGTATAAGTTACTGTTTACATGTCTTGACATAGATTCTTCAAAATCATTCATGGTCTTAAAACAGGCATGCCCATTCCTGCTCCCGGAGGGTGTTTACAGCGGGGTTTAGCTCTATCCCCAACCAAGCACTCCAGAAACAGACAATCAAGGTCTTTGGGATGACTAGAAACTTCCAGACAGGTGTTGTGGAGCTAAAATTCAGACAAGTGGCTCTCAAACAGCAGGACTGGAAAGTCCTTTCTTGAAGGGGGTTGAAACCGGGGGTTTCCAGTCCTGCTACTGGGGGGGCCAATATCCTGCAAAATTTAGTTCCAACTTGCCAAAACACACCAGCCTGAAAGTTTCTAGTAATCTGGAATACACTGGAAAAGCTCTAGATTGGAGTAATGGGCTTGCCAAAAGGTACACATTGCTACAATAAGAAACTAACCCCTAACCCTACTCCCCAACAGGCAGCTTTCGAGACCAATTGCAAAGATCTTTCGGCACGCCCTTTACTCCAGATCTTGATTATCTGGTTGAGGTGTGATCGCTTGACACTGTACCTCAAAGGGACTTTGTACACTATCAAGGTGCATATAAGTACTCAAGAGTAGTGGCACGTTCTGTTTAGGGGTAAATGAGGTACAAAGACGTCCCTTTGAGGGTACTAGCGTCAAGCTTTTGCACCGGTAAAAGGTCAAATGTACTTTCTGAGAGAGTAATGTCAAGTACAACAGAAGATAATTTGAAATTGTCTCTCAATTTGATTTAAAACGAGCAAATCTTTCTGTTACAGTGATATGTCAATAAGTAAACGTTCAGCATTCCATCAGAAATGTGCTCAGGTGTTTGCGAATGAACTTTTATTACTCAGTAAACATGTTCATTATGCAAGCTGTCCAAATCGACCTTGAAGTGGGCTTACTAGGTGAATGAACTTTTAGATACTGTTCCTGTAGTATGATTCCAGGTAAACAGCTGCCTTTCTTGTATTAAATGTATGTGTGTCGTTCGTCAGGTTTAGTGGTGTTACGTGGTTATGACGTGATTAGTCACATGCTAACAAGCGTAATGTCTGTTGCTGCCCACACAATATCTAACTTTCAAAGATTGCTCTTCTTTTTACACCACACAACTGTCTGTCAACACTGATCTCTTCAGCTGTCAAAACACATTTCACTCTGCAGGAGCTGAATAGCAGGCATATCTAGATATTTAACCTGCTAAATGTCTCTCAGACATGGGAATCTCTCAGATTGTGTGTTTTTTGAAAATACACACAGCAAACTGTTGGCGAGTGGAAAATCAGAGCCAAAACGGTGTAGTGTAGCTTGTGGCGATTCCTTTAAAATGGTGTTTATTTTATTGTTTACTTCTTGATGCTATGAATTTCGATTGTTTTTTTAAAAAAAGAAATCCTTTTCAGAGAAAATTGTTGCTGTTTATGCATCGTAACCCAGAACATTCCTTTAAATATTCATGTGGTTTTAGACATAAATATTTAGGGACTGTTATGTACAGTGAGCATTACTGGATTCACTATACATCGGAGAGAATGGGTCCTTTTCACACTGTGGTGGGTGTAGAGCTACGCCTGGTGGGGTGAGTGGATTATCTCAGAAAAACATGAGGAGCCTCTGGACACAAGAAGCTTTCTTTGAAACGTTCAGAGTGGGCCAAGCAGACTTGAGTCTGTTTTTGTCCAATCTGAATGACAAGCACTTAGTCTCAATGATAAACCTCACAAAAACGCTTATATAGCCTTTTAGTAACATTCCAAGTGATTTACTGAACAATTAACTTCTGATTTCCATGATAAATGACTGAAATTGTAGTTACCTGATTGACGACAATAAAGTCCCTGAAGTTTAACTCCTTCCACAGCCACTCATCTGCTAATCCTCTATCTTTTTGAGTTGGGTTGCGTCGATCTGGAAACAGAGCTTGACCTGAAATGCCATAAACCTTCGATGGAGGTGAAACCTACAGATGTAGACCTCTGGAGAGGCTCAGCCTGGGTTAATGTCACTTGGGTTGTATGTTTGAGAGTGAAGTGCTGCCCTCTGGGATGCCAGCTCGGGTCTGTGTAGCGGTGGGCAGAAGCATGCGCTTATGTGCGCGTTCGTGTCAGCGTGTGAATGCGTTAATGTGTCTTGAGTGTGTCTCCCAGTGCCTGGTGTACCAGCACAATGAGTCGCTGTTCTCTCGCCCTCGCGCTCCTCGATCCCCAACCCGTCCATCTAGTCCTCTTTTTCATCCTTCGCCTTCTTGTTCCTTGAAGCCAACTCCATCGTTTCTTACTACCTTTCATTCATTTCGCTTTCATAAAAGTTCACAGAGCGAGTACAAGTATGTTAACGTCTTGCTTTCATGTCTATGTGACAATGGAATATGTGTAAAGTTATAAATAACATTTAAGGAATAAATATATAAAAAAAATACAATTGTTGCTATTGCAAAACATTTTTAAGAAACAGTCTTGAAAGTCTGCTCTATATACGTATACTTTTAAGTAAAATATACTTTTAAGATTTTACTTACAATACAAGTGCACTTTCTATTTGCTAGGATACACAAGGTACTTTACTGTAAAAAATATTTTCAAGATTTGTTATCACAACATTTTTCTTTTGTCAAATCAACTTAAATAATTTCTTTAGTTCAGATTACTTATTATTTTGAGTTTCTGATGCTTAAATCAATCTCCTTCATTGTATTAACTCACTTTTTCCAGTTCAATCAACTTAAAATTTTAAGGCAACCAGGTTACTTAATTTTTTAAGTTAAACCAACAATATTTTTTTTACGTCGGACCCCAGATCTTAGTATTATTCTAGTCTCTAAATTCAGGCTTCAGTCCTCCTGTAATGCAAGTCAATGGGATTGTTTGTTTGTTTGTTTGTTTGTTTTTTTGTTTGTTTTTTTGCTTGTTATATTGTCCAGCAGGTCAACCGTGAATCTGATCACCTAGAAAGTAATATCCACCTCTTATGAGTAAAACTTTCACAGTTTGAGGTATCCTTCATGTCTGTAATCAAAATAAGGCTTTAAGTAGAACCAGTAATAAATAAAAAGGAATATGTGTAATAATTGCACCCTATAACGGCAGTGGTAAAGGAAGTGAAAGCTGTAACTGCTGGCATATTGTTTCAGATGCTGCAGCAGCTGCTGCTGATGATAAGGGGAGCAGTGTTTTTTTCCCCATGGGGTCGTCCCGGGCTGAAGATGGGGTGAAGCTTATCTGTGAAAGTATCTTTGAAAGTGTAGATATGAGTCCCGGTATCCAAACAATAGAAAGATACGCGTCCCCCCTCATAGTCCAGGTAAATAGACACTCTTTTGGGCTTTTGACTGAGGCTAAAGCAAGTTGGAGGGGTTGTGTTAGCAACATACTGGGTGCCATTCTTTAAGCTAAGTGTCCAGAAGCCATTGGCTGGACATATTGTGAATTTTCCCTTTCTGTTGACAGATTGTCTGGCTACACCCAAATCCCAGTCAGTCTTGTCTCCAACCTCCACTTCCCAAAGGTGCCTTCCATAGCTGAAGGCTTCCTTGGACATTACATTGGCCACCCGGTCAAACCTCTTGGGGTTCTCTGGGACTTCTTGTCGCTTATTGGCGTGTCTAACCTCCTTTCGGTCCTCAGAGACGTAGAGGTAAGCGTGAGCTGTCCGGGGATTCAGATTAACGTCAACTGAAAAGGAAGACAGACGATTGGCTTTCTAGAGAAACTCGTAAGGATAACTAATTCTTTAAAAATATTAATGAAAACACACCCGAGTACTTCTGCAGCCTCTTCAGTTCTGAAAAGAAACAGATTGCACATGAAACATAAATGGCATAAAAAAATATGCTAGCTTGCTAAAAGTATTACCTTCTTACATTTAAGTTGCACCCAAAGGTCACCGTTTTGCAACTTTAACAGTTCGTACTTTATAGAAACCGACAATTGTGACTTTATATCTCACAATTCTGACTTTTTTCTTGCAATTGTGACTTTATATCTCACAATTCAGGATTTTTTCTTGCAATGTGACTTTATATCTCACAATTCCGGCTTTTTTCTTGCAATGTGACTTTATATCTCACAATTCTGGCTTTTTTTCTTGCAATTTTAACTTTATATCTCACAATTCTGGCTTTTTTCTTGCAATTGTGACTTTATATCTCACAATTCTGACTTTTTTCTTGCAGTTGTGACTTTATATCTCACAATTCTGACTTTTTTCTTGCAATTGTGACTTTATATCTCACAATTCTGACTTTTTTCTTGCAATTGTGACTTTATATCTCACAATTCTGACTTTTTTCTTGCAGTTGTGACTTTATATCTCACAATTCTGGCTTTTTTCTTGCAGTTGTGACTTTATATCTCACAATTTTGGCTTTTTTTCTTGCAATTGTGACTTTATATCTCACAATTCTGACTTTTTTCTTGCAGTTGTGACTTTATATCTCACAATTCTGGCTTTTTTCTTGCAATTGTGACTTTATATCTCACAATTATGACTTTTTTCTTGCAGTTGTGACTTTATATCTCACAATTCTGACTTTTTTCTTGCAATTGTGACTTTATATCTCACAATTTTGGCTTTTTTTCTTGCAATTGTGACTTTATATCTCACAATTCTGACTTTTTTCTTGCAATTGTGACTTTATATCTCACAATTATGACTTTTTTCTTGCAATTGTGACTTTATATCTCACAATTCTGACTTTTTTCTTGCAATTGTGACTTTATATCTCACAACTCTGACTTTTTTCTTGCAATTGTGACTTTATATCTCACAATTCTGGCTTTTTTCTTGCAATTGTGACTTTATATCTCACAATTCTGACTTTTTTCTTGCAGTTGTGACTTTATATCTCACAATTCTGGCTTTTTTCTTGCAATTGTGACTTTATATCTCACAATTATGACTTTTTTCTTGCAGTTGTGACTTTATATCTCACAATTCTGACTTTTTTCTTGCAATTGTGACTTTATATCTCACAATTCTGACTTTTTTTCTTGCAATTGTGACTTTATATCTCACAATTTTGACTTTTTTTCTTGCAATTGTGACTTTATATCTCACAATTCTGACTTTTTTCTTGCAATTTTGACTTTATATCTCACAATTCTGGCTTTTTTCTTGCAATTGTGACTTTATATCTTACAATTCTGACTTTTTTCTTGCAGTTGTGACTTTATATCTGACAATTCTGGCTTTTTTTCTTGCAATTGTGACTTTATATCTCAATTCTGACTTTTTTCTTGCAATTGTGACTTTGTATCGCACAATTCTGACTTTATTTCCCACTATTAGTAACTCATGATTCTGAAAAGAAAGCTCTGAATTGTGAGATATATAAACTTGATTATCTTGATTATCTGGTTGACTTTATATCTCATAATTCTGACTTTATTTCCTGCTATTATAACTCGTGATTCTGAAAAGAAAGGTCTGAAGTGTGAGATATAAACTCTTTTTTTTATTCAGTTGCAGAACAGTTATCTGCCATTTTAAGAAGCAAAAGTTGAAATTTACAGCTTTTGACCCCAAAACATGGAAGTTTAAAATTTCTAACTCCAAACCCCCCCCCCCCCCCCCCCCCCAAACCATAAGCTTGATTAATGGAAGAAGCTGTGAGAGCTAGTATACTAACAGGCAAAAGCACAGTGTTAATTCAATCATACCAGCTTTAGAAAGTCTTTTAGCTTCCACCATGACCATATCCATGAACTCAACCACAGCCTGGCTGGTGACGCCAACACAAGGGTCAGTCTCCAGTGTGACTTTAGACCAGTCTCTCATAGCTCGCGGTATATGACTGAAGCTCTATAGATGAAAATAAATCGATTAGTCTATATATGCAAAACATGTTAAAAGGAATAGTAACCCAAAATGAACATTGGCCTCATGTTGTTTTAAATACATCTTTTTTCCCCATATAACAATAAGGAAAACTTTTGATGAATATCACACAGCTCTTTTCCATTAAATTAAAGTTCAAGGTTCATTATCAACACTAAAAAATAGTTCAGAAAATAATCAGAAACCATGGAAACTAAGAAGGATCAGGAACACGGGCAAACTGAAACACAATGAAACAACACAAAACACTTTTTTGTGTGTGTTTAAGGAGGAGATCTGTTAGTGTTTAATGTTTTGTTGAGATCTTGTAGGGGTTTCTGTTATGTTGTTGTCTTATCTGAAGAGTAGAGCCTTTGGTTAGATCGAGGAAGGGCCAACAGACTATTAGACCACTGCATGTTACTTTTCATTGAAGCAGTAACTATATGCGAGCAATTGCTTTGATGGTTTCTTAATTATGTTAGTACATACATGTACCATGTGTCATGCATTATATTCCAAGCCTCCTGAAGCCGTGAGATTTGTGAGAGGATCAGCCTGATATTTAAAAGATGATTCACTGTAAATCAATGTGCTGATTTCACAACCAAATGCGATGTGACAGTTTATGGGGTGGAGAACGAGACATGAGCGTTATGGCAGAGAGGACGATTTAATGATAAATTTCAATCTGTTCCTTGCTTTTAGATATTACATGACTTCAGAAAACATTGATTGTTTTGGTTATTTTTGGAGCAGATGTGATCATTAAACTGTAGTTGTGTTGAAAGCAGCATAAAGAGTATTCAAAAACTGTTCATGTTCTACTGAAAAACTTTGAGTATACGGTTTTGGAAAAACATAATGACATAACAAAGACTAGACAAAGTAACACAGAGCAAAAAAGAAAGAATACTGCTAGTAAACAAAACAAGAAATGTGATTACCTTTTTAAGACGCTCCTTGTCATTCAAGAGCTCTATGTTGGCGTGTCCTTTGTCCAGTTCAAGGATTTCTTTCTCCAGGTCTTTTACAAGTCTTTCGACCCTTTTCTCCGCCTCTCTTTGTTTCAGCTCCACTGCTGTCACGACCAGTTTATGGCCGTTCTCTAAGGCGCTCAACAGAGAAGAAAACACCCTCTGACTTTCCTGAACCTCTCGGAGACATGAGCTCTGTTTAGAGAAAGAGCATAATTGTAATTAATCTGGATCAAAAAAATTGATTAGCAAGCAAGATTAAAAGAATATTTCACCCAAATATAAAACAGTTGCCCTTCATTTATTGTTATCATGTTTTTAAACACTTTGTCGTGATCGGTCGCGTACCTTTAGGAGCTTTAAGGAATTCTGAAGTTTGTCAATCTTTTGAACTCTTTCCTGAATCATTTTATCCACCTCTCCTGCATCCTTCTGTTTGCAGGACACGAGTGAAGAACAAAACCACAGAATTAAGTTGTTTTCAGGAATGCTGTATCATTTAAAAGGATTTAATTTTGGCAACGCTTCCTTTTACAGTCCAGTTACCCATGTAAATACTATGTACTTATTTTAGTAATAACTAGTACCAACCCTGAACCTACCCCTAAACCTACCCGTTACCTTATATTAGCCAGTACTTTCTAGGTAAGTACACTGTACTGTAAAAGGAAGCGTTACCTTCATTTTTTTAAATGATGCACTTACAGGTTCATCTTGAAGTTCATCCATACTAAAAAACTTTGATTTAGCAGCCATACGTGTCTTCCTGTAGTTTTCGGTGACGTCCGCCAGTATGCGGTTCACACTGATACGTGGTCTGGAGCCAAAGGCCCTCCTACAGAGCGGACACTCTTCTGTCCCGCTGCGGCTCCAGTACGTGCGCAGACACATTTTACAGAAGCTGTGGCCGCAGGGTGTCGTCACTGGGCTGCTGAACATGTCCTCGCACAGAGAGCACAGGAAGTGCTTCTCGGACAGGAGACTCATGCTAGATTCCATCCCTGAAAGATCACAACGGCAGAAAACTGAATATTGCAAATCACATTTAATTATAAAAATATTTTATTCCACTAACCCTTAACCCTTAAACACACACCACAGGTCTTTAGTGACCCGGGACGTCATTAACTACCCTCCACCTAATTCATTTTTTTTTTAAAGTTAGACATCAACCTTCTAAGTATTCCACAATTAATCAACATAACAAGAAAAAAATATAAAATGCCTGTTTTCCCATTTATTTTGTGAAAAAAATTGTATAGGGTCGTTGACAACCCAAATTGTGTAATAGTGTGAGTATTTTTTTTTTCTGCACAACAATAATTTAAAGGGTTAGTTCACCCAAAAAAATGAAAATTCTGTCAGTATTTACTCATCCTCATCGTTCAACTTCGCAACATAAATTAAGATATTTAAGATATTAAGATCGCTCCTGCATACTAGTCCATAGGCTTCTTGAGGGAATGACTCTTGCTGGCATCGAAAAGTCATCAAAGACATCGTTAAAATAGTCCAAGTGACTACAGGGGCTCAATTTTAACTTTATCAAACGACGAGAACACTTTTTGTGCCCGAAAACAAACAAAAATAACGACTTTATTTCAACTATTCACTTCCTTCTCCATGGGCCTGCAGTCAGTTAACGTAGTGTGATTGCGTAAAGCTACGCCACACGTAGGCTCACTATTGGCCGACGCTGGTCATGTGTGTGATGCGTGTGACGTACAATAACAGAAGCTTACGCTATTAAACTAGTAACCTGACTCGCGCAGAGGGAGAAATAAACGAATAGTTGAAAAAAGTCGTTATTTTTGTTGTTTTTTGCGCACAAATAGTGTTCTCGTCGTTTGATAAACTTAAGATTGAGCCACTGTAGTCACTTGGACTATTTTAACGATGTCTTTAATGACTTTTCGATGCCAGCAAGAGTCATTCCTTTAAGAAGCCTATGGACTAGTATGCAGGAGCGATCTTAATATCTTAAATATCTTAATTTGTGTTGCGAAGATGAACGAAGGTCTTACGGGGTTGGAACAACATGAGAGTGAGTAATTACTGACAGAATTTTCATTTTTGGGTGAACTAACCCTTTAAATCTTTGAAGCCTGAATAAGTGCTATTCACATTAATGTCTGATACACCATGATGAAGTTACGTTTCACTCATCGTCAACGCAGGCAGAAAACAAAAGAATAATCAGCAAAACTTGAATTGGCTCTGTGATTTACTGCAGAACAAGTACTGAACTCGATCAAATATTAGTGACTGTCACTTGATGGTGGATCGGGTGAAGAAATATTGATTTGAAGATGTTGAAAATGATAGTTCTGAGAACATGTTTGAGATGGCGAATATAAGCCAGATGTTGAATATATTGGGAAATGAGCTCTGACGAGGACAGTGATGATGTTGTAAAACATCTGTTCAAGCTGAACCCTTCAAAGCTAACAAAATATGCTTTATTATATTCTTCTGTTATTCTTTTATTCCTCTAATATCTGGAGAGTTTTATGTTATTGCGACAGGTACAGTACACTGTAAAAAAATGATCGTGATTTTAACAGTAAAAGGCTGTAAAAATGCTACAGTGTAAAACTGTTAATTGGTTAACAGAACCTTTCCTTACTATATACGGTAAATATCTGTGATGGATCTTATGTTAATTTCATGTAATTTTACTGTAAAATACTCTTAAATTGACAGTTTTTAAAGTGAAAATGAACAACTCACAGTATAATTTACAGTGAAAAAACGTAAATTGACATTCCCCCCTGCGTGACACTCCACACTTGTTGTATTTTTGTTGAAATAACTTTTTTTCTTCATAGTTTGCTTAGTCTTTTTCTAATCAGTTAGGTACATTAGGGTTTTATGTGACATTTAATTGTTAAATTAATGTTTATTGCCTTTTTAAAATTTCATGTGTGTTACCATGATGGTGTTTAATGTTTGAGTGAATGACACTGTGCCGCTTCTAAATGTTAATTTAATACATTAAGTTTCTTGTGAAAGAGCTACATTTGATGAGTTTCCATATATCATGTGACTCTCGTTACTGCTGCGATTGATGGATGTCAGTATATTACAATGGTATAAAACAGATATTAACACTTCACATGGTCGACAATTTAACAGTATATCAGATAATTAAATACGGTTTATTTCCGTAAATTTTAAGTTAAGCCTGTAAAACCTTATTACCGTAAATTCTTGTTACCGTATTTTATACGGTAAATTTCTGGCAACCACAGCTGCCGGTATTTTACCGTAAATTGAACACTATTTTTACAGTGAGATCCATCCGTGTTGGTTATAGATACGGGTCGCTAAAGACCAGAATATGTAATAATTATTCGAGAAACATTCATGCATTTAAGGGTTAATTAAGTGCCTAAATGAATCATTTGATACAATTCACTTGTGTTTTTACAAAGAAAAATAGCAATTAATCTGTAATGTAAGACTGGAAAAACTAGTTGAATAGATAGAACTGACCACTGGTCTATGAGACAAAGGACCTTTGTGGAAATTAACATTTGATTTCCCCCCCTCTCTTCCCCTGAGATGAAAGTCTCACCTTATCTACATTTCATTCTCTCTCAGGGACACCTAAAACTAACATAAGATTAGATATGGTTTAATGTGAATGATAATCATTGAGTATTGTGTTTTGCATCATTTACAAATAAGTAAAACAAAAGGTAATAAGGTTTTTAAGAGTTTAGAGAAACTGGCACGGTCCTCCTACCCCCCAAAAGGTGTAACCTCTGAATGCAAATTACCATGCTAGCATGTTTCCATGTGAACGAGGTTCTGGCTTTTTAATGGAAAGCAGCAAGGGATCGGTGCCTTTTCTGTACAGTACTTCAGAGAGGCCAATCTCTCAGCTTCACGTATTTCCTAATGTCGGGTTCGTCTTCTCTTTATTCCAGAGCATTTTATGTTTTGTATTGATTATCTTTAACTGATGTGAAAATGCATACCCATCGCATACCCATACCACCAAACCTGTGCGTAACCTGACACGTATCCCACCTCAGTAGCAGCACAAGTGTTTTTCAATACAACATCAAGTACATTGTACCTAATTATTACAAGTACATAGCACTAAAGACACCTAATATAAAGGGTGACCATCTGTATAGCCTGTTTTGTCCCAGTACTAGTGATGATCTAAACTAAAGAACGAAAATCGATAAGATAAGAGATCGATAAATTCCAGTCAATAAACATCAGACTCATTTAACACAAAATACCAGGGTAAAAACTCATTCTGCTGTCCTCTACCTAACTTCACTTTCTGCATATGAAGAGCTCAGATGCAAAAGCCTCTAAATGCCATTTGAAATTTTCTTCTTTAATGATGATTTTTATCAAACTTGTATATTTAAGTTCAGTAATTTCACTTAAATAACAGTTAATATGTAATTATCATTGCCATTTAAGTGAAATCACTGAACTTAAAAATACAAGCTTGATAAAAATGATCATTCTAGAAGAAAATTTCAAATGGCACTTAGAGGCTTTTGCATCTGAACTCTTCATAAATCATTTATAGAGCAAAGCTTCAGCTATTGTGCCCATGTAAATATTTGCAAGCGCTTATATAATGAGTCTGTCTGGCATTCCATTCAGTGTAATGTGGATCTTCACAAGCCTCTCTTCAGAGTCAACACAGTGTGGTATGAGGAAGAACAAGTTCAACCAGAAACCCCTGTCGACATCAGGGACAAGTTTAAATATTTATCTAAGGTTTCAGGACAGATTTTTTTAGTAGCTAAAAACATTTAATAACTGGTTGAACTTAACCAAAAGATGCTAATGAATAGTATGGAACTCAATTAGACATTTATCATTAAAATATTTACCTCAGTTTGATATTTATAAATCTCTATTGTAGCTGTTGCTCTTTACACTGTGAGCTATCATTTAAAGGTACAAGACAAAGGTTACAGTAATCTCATTGGATCTTACCTGTAGTTTAGCTCATGAAGAGAGTTGTTCACGTCTCTTACGGTGAGTTTCAGAGTGAACTGGATCATAAAGTTCACAGGTGTGTTTTCAGCAAGGGGAGGAGCCTTGGACTTTACACTGAGTCATACACATTACCACATCATAAAGACCAGCAGCAATGATTTCCATTACAAAATAATGGCTATATATTCACGTCACAATTAGATATGGCCACTTGACAGCAGTAAAGATTATTGAGTCGTAACACTTTTATTGGTTTACTGATTGGTTACTGCAAAACACCTGGAATTCATTTTAGTAATTTGTCTCACTTAGGACAAAACAAGACCGTATTGGACAAAAATAACACATCATCAGACATGACATATACAATAAAAAAAAAAAAAAAAATCAGAAGACAAATAGGCTACTTATGAGTAAGTTAAATCCAGTAATCAAATAAATAAATCAGATTAAATGCTAATACATTTGGTGATACTGAGGACAAGGACATAATTATGTAAGCAGAGCAGATAATGATTGTTGGTGTGAATCGAGGGACCTCACAGCCGGTGGGTAAGTGCTATTTTGAAAACGTCTCCTTCTTAGCCTTCTAGTGGCTTCAGCTTTTCATTAATAAAACGTATTGTCTTTTGTCCCTTATATCTATACATCATGGTTGCTTCTGTTCACCCACTCACATCTATTGTGTAATTTATTATCTGAATGTTACACTCTATTCCCTATCATTGTAACACAGTCAAACTATCTTTGGCGTGGGCCTGTTTTGTGTTGTAGTTTAAAGCATTTGTGAGCCACTAAAACTCGGGATCACTGACTCAAAATCACTCTATCTATCAGATTAAAAGTAAAAGTAAAGCTTTTGTAAAGCAATAGTTTACCCTGCGTCACAGGCTATACTCTGTGTAAATGGAGTCCTGTGTTATCTTTCACACTGCTCATAATATAAGAGTTAACAATTAACCGTGCATGGGTTTCATAAGCTGACTGACATTTCAAACTCTATACATTCCTGGGTTAAAGCTCTTACTTACATATTTGCAGTGTCACTGACTGGTCATATCATCATTTTTCAAACTGCCGACTGTATACTGTCAAGTTTATACTGAATGATCTGTTCAGACCGTAAAGGTTAGAATGAAAGGGTCTCTCCTTCAGTTCAATTGACACGCTTGCTGTCACCATTTGACATGTTTATCCTCAAATAATGTAATTACTACTGTTTAATGCATTGTGTTTCTGTGACTTTCTAATGCTCACCAAACACATTGTATGATTTTCTGCTGTCCCAGACGAAAGATGACCAAGCAAGGTGATTTCTCTGGTTGTGAGTCCTTTATCTTAAGTGTTGATCATAAGTCATAAAAATGATAAAAGAAGGTGCAAGGCCAGGTAGGTCCAATGGCAGTGGATTCGGTTAGCCATTACAAAAGACATTACAAATACAAAAGAAATCTATTTGATGATCTGAATGGAATAAGAAGATAATCGAGATAAGGAGGAGCTTGATCATTTAGAGCTTTAAAAACAAACAACAGAATTTTACAAGAGCAACGGTCAAGAGCAATGAATTACAATTATCTTGTGATATAAGCATGAATAACCTTCTCCGAATCTTGGAAAGACAAAAATTATTTAAATTTGGAAAAAATCTGTAATTGATAAAACTATTCTTAACAACTGAATTAACCGAATTTGCTTAAGTCCATGATGATACCAAGGGTTCCTGACCTGGGAAGAAATTGAGAGGTAATGATTGCCAAGCCCATTAATAAGACCATCTCTCAATCTCTGGGGACCCACGACAATTATTTCTGTTTTGTCCTCATTAGGTTGGAGAAAGTTATTTGTTAATACTTTCTTAACATCATCAAGACAGTCAACTGAGCAGTATGTACAACTGGGTATCATCAGCATTTAAATTAAACGAGACATTGTGCCCTCTAAAAACATTCCCCAGCGGACACATTGTTAAAGAGAAGAGGGCCCAAAACGGAGCCCTTAGGTACACCACTAAAAATAGGTACACCACTAAAGGTGGACACATATGTTAAACAGAAGAGGGCCCAAAATGGAGCCCTGAGGTACACCACTAAAGGTGGGTACACCACTAAAGGTGGACACATATCTTAAAGAGAAGAGGGCCCAAAATGGAGCCCTGAGGTACACCACTAAAAATAGGTACACCAATAAAGGTGGGTACACCACTAAAGGTAGCTACACCACTAAAGGTAGACACATATGTTTAAGAGAAGAGGGCCCAAAACGGAGCCCTGAGGTACACCACTAAAGGTGGGTACACCACTAAAGGTGGACACATATCTTAAAGAGAAGAGGGCCCAAAATGGAGCCCTGAGGTACACCACTAAAAATAGGTACACCACTAGTACCTATTTTGTACCTAACTATGTACTGGGTATAATCAGCATTTAAATTAAACAAGACATTGTGCCCTCTAATAACATTCCCCAGCGGACACATATGTTAAAGAGAAGAGGGCCCAAAATGGAGCCCTGAGGTACACCACTAAAAATATGAGCTGAAGAGGAGGAAAACATACCCAAAAATACAGAAAATGACCTGTTTTTAATGTATGAACTGAACCATTGCAAGGCAGTACCCTCCAATCCTGCTCCGAAGCAAGGTTTCATAACCCCAGGTGCGAACCCTGCTTCTAAATTACAAGTGAAGCGCTCCTGTGCCCAGGGTTAAAAGCAGAGTTTAAAACGACAATAACCCAGCGTTAAGCCCATGAAAAGCCCTATACAATCTGTAGAAGATCCAGCAGTGTCACAGTGTCGCTATGCAGTCCGTTTGTGGGCATCTGCGAAGGAATTGTAAATGTAGCTCCATACTGCATTAGCTGCCCCTCCAAGTACACCACCTAGAGCAGCACCGATAGCAGCTCCGACTGCCATACCTTCATGTCCTATCGCAAATCCAAGAAGTGCACCTACAAATGCTCCTTTTCCAACCGCAACGGCGTAATCAACAAGTCTGACCGTGAAGCCAAGCTTGTCTGCGACAACCAGCTCTGCTTTCTCTCTGCACTCCAACTGTACCTTTTCTTCATACTTCATAGCCTCACTGAGAAGTGCCTCCCCTGAATGTTTGTTCTCCAACACCTTCAACGTCTCGCTGATCTCCTTCTCCTTTGATTTTCTGAGGAAACGCTCCTCTATCTGAATTCTTTTTTCTGCATCTTTAAATTCCAGGTTTGAAAACATGCCATGCTCCAAGACCATCTCATCGACCTTGGCAAACAATGCTTGCTTCTGGCTGCCTTCAGTCTGGTTTTTGTCTTCATTGAAGAAGAGGTAGTTCTGGACACATTTCTCAGCAAGCTCTCTAAAGCTCTTGTTCTTCTTAACCTCATCCTCTATTGACAGGGTTGTCCGATCTCTCTCATGGTATAAAACAATCAATGTGTGCTTCAAGACACGATCTCCAAAGTAGTGCACCACAGGCTTCAGTATGTTCATAGTGTCAGAGGACAAATTGAAAGGGTCTAGAACAATCACTAAAGCATGGGACCTGGAGAAGAGAAACAAACCGCCTTATTGAGCTCCTCGTGAAGCACACTGTCCGGCAAGTCGTTGTCTTGAAGATTTGGTGCGTTGACCAGGGTTATTTTTCTGTCCTGCACAACCCCTGAACTTTTCTTGGTAGCTGAAATATTGACGTCATCTGCCGTGAAGACGTCTGGCCCCAACACAGAGCGTGTCAGTGAGGTCTGATCACGACTTGAGTTGCTAAAGACCAGCAACCGCAATGGTGTTTCACTGCTCACTGTGAGATGAAGTTTAAAAAATATATATCATTATTTATCATATTAACCGTCATTTATCAAATGTTCAGATTTGTTCATCAACTCACTGTTAGGTCTATCACGTCCAAAGCTCCCTCTTCTCACAGCTTTCCCTTTGACTGCTGCCATTGTAAGAGTAGAACTGACAGGGGTTGATGAAATCAGGATATGCTATTCTATTAAGGAAAAAGACATTTTGAAAGACAAATATTATTTATACATATAAAATAACTAACCACAAAAGAAGATATTTTCAGCTAGTTGCTGAAATATATACAGTATATTGGTTTAAAAAGTCACTGTTTGGATGCAAATTTAGGCAAATGCTTAAGAGTCTATGACTGGATAATTATTGCTGTGATTTTTTATTTATTTATTTATTTATTTTTTTTTAGCATGTTGTGTGTTTGTGAATAGTTCTTCTAACTCTAAGTGATGGAGTGTGTAGCTTTTCAATTCCTAAACAATGTAGGAAGACATATCCTGGTCATATCCGAATGACACTAAAATAACACTGTTTGGTTACCAAAATTCTTCAGAATATCTTCTATTGTTTTATGCAGACAAAAGAAAGTCATACAGATTTGGTAAGTCCAACGTGACTGTGAATAAGTGATGGTAAAATTAAAAAAATTGGGTGAGCTATTCCTTTAAGTTTTATGCTTACTAATGCATCCCAACAACACAAGATATAATAGCAACCATTCCAAAGCATGTAGAATATTCATATAATAAAGACAATATTACCTCTCATGTTCATGGCACACCAACCCGGCAGCATCCCACTAAAAAAAAATAATAACGAATATTAAGCATACAGATGCAGTTTCATTACGTTGTAGGCCTATTTCATTGTTCTGGTTATTACATATTTATATACGCCAGCACCGTGCATTTAGGATACAGTGAAATCATAGAGATTATCTTTAAAATATGTTTAAAAAAAAAAAAAAAAAAAAGTGAAAACCAATCCAGGTTCCGTAAACAAATGCTTACTATAACAGCCCCTCTTTGATCAGCAACAAAAAATAAACAAGTAGTCTAGGCCTACTACAGAAAATTGCGAGAGAATGCATTGACTTATTATTGTTCCTCACATACTGTTTCCGTTGGTTCTCGCTCACCACAAGTCCCTGTAGGGCGGGGCTCCGTATATTGAGCTTTTGATTGGTCAGACCACCTGCCTGTCTTTCTCCACTGTTTTCGTTTAGAATATATATTCACATATGTATATTATTATTTATTTATTTTTTTTTCAAAAGCGCTTTTCAATTGTTTATTTAGAAAATGCTATTGTTAATATTCCGGCGGCCGTGAGTTCATATTATATTCAGAGTTACTCTACCTGTCAGCATGCAAGTTTCAACATGAAAACAGCATTTACAGCTGTCACAATAAGGTCAATCTCAGACGAGCACTATAAAGTGCAGCTTTAAACGCTCTAGTTAATTCGAAGCTGATATCCATAACAATTATTTACTGATCAAAATACGTTCTCTCGTGTTAGAACTTCCCTTAGTGAATTTTAGTTTTTACATGAAACGTTTTCTCAAATAATTTCTTCACATATGGCATACGCCACTTAAATGCATTATATACATATAGATTAGTAGCCTACATACCTATGTTTTCACCGAAGTACAACTTGATGAAAATGCGAGAAAAAGGTTGTTTGGAGAAAAGTACGTGAGAAGATCGTCTGAAAATGAAACTGCGCTAGCTACACTTCTGTTTTCCTATTGGCCCGCCCTATGTATTTCGCAATGCATGCAATGCAACTACCCTTAAAGTTGCGTCATCCCCACTTTGAGTGAAATAGCCTAATTTGTTTATAAAACTTTAAAAATGTCCAAACATTTTTCGATTGAAAATATGAATTCAAAATACTACTACACATAGGCTATTTGTTACTGTCTTGAAACACAGCAATAAATGCAAGGTAGCCAATAGTCTCGTTTTATTAAAAACAGAAAAGTGTTGGACAACACAATCATCAGCAAAAAGCAAAGCAAAAGGAGGACAATCCACAAAACACAATCTAGAATGTACAATTCAATACATTTCACCAATAGACCTTTCTCACAACTTCCGTATTTGTGACCGGAAATACGCAGTTGTCGTGGTAATCTTCTTCCGCTCCATTCATAACAGATAGCGCCGAAGGCAACTAGTGAGAGTTGTTGCATACCGATCTTTTTGGTTATTCCCAAAAGCAGCCATACCTGTCGTTTTCATTCCTTCCCTCAGTTCCCTGTCGATGAAGTTCGACGGAAATGGATTCGGGCAATCTGGCGGGATGTTATTGATCCTGTGATCTTCTGTACTTCTCATGTCACCATTCACTAATAAGCCGTCATTGTTTGTTTATTTTTTATGTTTTATGATTTGCGTATTTTTGAAGTAACGTTAGTTCATGTTCAACTGTGTTAAGATATTTGTATCCAGCGGAATAAGCACATAAAATATACACCACAATATAAAACAAGATAAATAAGAACACACAACAGTGGGCTACATATAAATTTAAAATATTAATACCATTCTGAGTATTTAACAATCTGAGTGTACAAGGAATAAATTAATATTTGTATAATTTTTCTTCATCTTTGATCGTTCTATCAACAGCAGTGCAAAAAAATCAGGATAACTGTTGAATAAAACTGACAGACTTCTTTCTGGTATTCACATCAAAATCTAGTTTATTGTAAATAATACTCCCTAAATATTAATAGCTTTCCACACGCTCCACCTTCTTACCTTTAATGAACGTATATTGGGAAGAATGAGCTTCAGTTCTAAAATCAATATCATATTCATATCTTTGGTCTTAGATACATCAGCTGCAGACAAGCATCACCACAGCATTTTACAAAGTCATCAACAACTGGACCATGTTTACATTTTTTCGAAGTTTTGAAGACTTTCTGATCAATTGTCTCCTCCCAGAGTAGGTTTTTCTGATGTGTTAACAGTTGACGGGAACTCCGTTTCCACAACGATTACGTATTTCCGGTTTTTGTGAAAAAGGTCTATTCAACTTTTCAGTATTTTTTATAACGTAGGCTATGTAATTAAAAATATTCTAATAAAAAAAAAAACGCAAAATAATAGTCAAATGACCACTAGAGGATGCACTGTTACTTCGTATCCAGATGTGTTGTCACGAATCACGATTACCAGCTGGAGTGCCCTTAAATGGCCAACAGAGGGCACTCGACCCTGAAACTATTGACACACCGTCTCAAACTACATTACCTATAACCCACTACCCGGAAAAGTCAACCATTAGCTCATTACCTCACAATAAACCCGCTTGTCTCAAACATTCAAGTCTTGTTTAACGTTACTACTGCAATTCTGAGCATTATGTCTGTAGTTCCGGTGTTTATGGTTGTGATATTTGCCTGTTCTTGGATTTTCCTTTTTGCCTATAGTATTTCCTTATAGGCCCTACAGTGAATTGAGCTTACTCCCTAAGAGCTTACTAGACAATCCCCCCCAAAATAATAGGAAATCAGGTGAATGCTATAGCCTTTTAAATAACACATTTTATTAAATTTTACCTATATTTACAGATGGTTCTTAGGAACCTGTCAGTCATACGGTTGGAATAGGTGTGTACACATTCCCGAATTTAAAATACAAATTAGTTTGAAGTTGCCTGATGAGTTATCTGTATACTGCAATAACATGACTACAATGGGATGAACAAGTTAGACCAACCAGAGTATTAATATGCTCAGATTCTTCAGACAGAGAACATTTCTTAAAGCAAATATGTTTCTTATTATACAGATTGAAAGAGGCTGAAATAGTGGAGTATTTTTGTTGGGTACCAGCACATGCTGGGGTCTCTGGTAACGAGGTTGCTGAAAAACGAGGAAAAAAAAAAAAAAAAAAGCACTAGACAAGAGAGAGGTGAGTATGGCGAAAAAAGGGTAACGAATGAGGTAGATGCAGTAGTAACAGGGAGATGGTGTTTTAGTATTACACAGAAAGTAGGGACGATAAATTATCTGGGAGAAAATAGAAAAGAAGGATATTGCTGTCTACACTCTAAAAAATGCTGGGTTTATTTAACCCAATTTTGGGTAAAAAATGGACAAACCCAGCCATTGGGTTACATTTTTAAATTACATTTTTTAACCCAATGGCTGGGTATGTCCATATTTTACCCAAAATTGGGTTAAAACAACCCAGCATTTTTTAGAGTGTAGATTAAGATTAGGACATGATTGACACAATTTAAACACAACTTAAAGGAGTAGTTCACTTTTGAAAAAACTTTTGCTGATAATTTACTCTCCCCCATGTCATCCGAGATGACCATGTCTTTCTTTCTTCATTCGAAAAGAAATTAAGGTTTTTGATGAAAACATTCCAACATTTTTCTCCATATAATGGACTTCAGTTGTAACCAAACGGTTCAAGGTCAGTACAAACTGCAAACTGTTCAAAGGGCTTTAAACGATTCCAGACGATGAATAAGGGTCAGCCGAATCGATCGCTTGTTTAATAAATAAATAACAATGTTTAAGTTTTATAAGCTCAAATGCTCGCCTGTGACGCACGTTTGTGACTCTCCTGTTCGAACTCGTTCATCAAAATGAACGAATCTTTTTCCGAGTCATTTGGTTCATTCAACGAACGAAACGAACAAATTGACTCGGTAAAAGATTTGTTCATTTTGATGAACGAGTTCGAACAGAAGAGTCACGAACGTGCATCGCAGTACTGCAGTCTGAAATCGTTTAAAGCCCTTTGCACTGAAACTGTCGTTTGGACCTTGAACCATTTGGTTCCCATTGAAGTCCATTATATGGAGAAAAATCCTGGAATGTTTTCATCAAAAACCTTCATTTCTTTTCGACTGAAGAAAGAAAGACATGGACATCTTGGATGACATGGGGGTGAGTAAATTATCAGCAAAAGTTTTTTTTTTATAAAGTGAACTACTCCTATAATCTTTCTGTACTCAGACTGGAGGCGCCCGAAAGAAGCGGTTAATAAAAGCTGCATTAAAGTTGGCTGTTTGTGCTCCCACCCTGTCATCCAAGTGTTGAATGGCCAGCTGTGCAGCGGCACCCGATGCCCCGCCCACAACCCCTCCCACAGCCCCTCCCACTACCATTCCTGCCGGCCCTTCCACAGAGCCCACGATCATCCCCATGGCTGCTCCAGCAACAAACCCCAGCCCTAGTCCCACAGCCAGTGTAGTCCTGAGCCGGCTATTCTGCAGTTCGGCCATGTCCCTGATTTCTGCCCCGACACTTGCATTGTAGTTGTCCATCTGCCAGCGCAGCTCATCCCCCCGAAACTGCTCCTCCAGGTCCCGGCACGTCCGCTTGATCTCAGAGTTTCTCTTCTTGCGTAGCTTTCTCTCCTCGGTTCTGATGCTGTCCTCTGCCCTCTTGTAAGATCGGTTAATGTAATATTGTCCACCCATTGCCTGCAGCATCCGCTCGATCTTATGTAGGAGCTCCCTGTTCCCGCCGTGGCTCCTCCAGTTCTTACTGAAGACGTGATAGCGGCCGTTGCACTGCTCCACAAGCTCCCGCAGGTGCCAGTCGGTTCGCGTGACCTTGTCGTTAAGCTCTCTGCCTCTCAGATGCCCATCGTAAACCAAGAGGACCATCGTGTAATTCAGAACATTCTCCCCAAATTTATTGGTAACCAGCTTGGGCGTCTTCATGTCATTAGGGGAGATCTTCTCCAGGTCGAACGCGATGAGTACGGCGTGAGGTCCGGGAGACGACAAACACATTGATCTTCTCAGCTCTTTCCTCATTTTGGACTTGGACAGGTCTTTGTTGTACATGTTCGGTCCGTTGATTACCGCAACCCGTCTTCCTACAAACTCTCCCACATTTTTCTGCCTGGATGTAATGTTATAAACATCCCCGGAGAACTTCTCCCTTCCCAAAATGAAGTTGGTGAGAAGGAACTGGGATGTACCACTGCTCCCGATAACCAATATCCTTAGTTCCACATCCCCAAACCCTAGGAGAAAATAAGAGTGATTTGAACACAGGGAATTGAAAATGAAAATGGTGGCATAATTAATTCACCCTCACATTTTCTCAAACCCATTAGCTGTATTTCCCGCAGTGGAACTCAAAAACACCATGTCAAGATGGACGCAAACACCATAAAATAATGTCCATATGAGTCAGGCTAATGACAGAATTTATATATTTTAAATAGGGCTGTGCAAAAGTTACTTGCGATTAATCGCATCCAAAATAAAAGTCTGTGTTTACATAGTATAATTGTGTGTGCTGTATATAATTATTTTGTATATATAAATACACACACATGCATGTATATGTTTAAGAAAATGTGTTATTCCTATATAAAATATTTATATTTATATAATATAGATTATGTATTTATACAGAATTTAAGCGCAAATAATTCTTAAATATATGCATGCATAGGTATTTATATATACAAAATAATTATATACAGCACACTCAAATATATTATGTAAAACAGACTTTTATTTTGGATGCGATTAATCGCAATTAACTTTTGCACAGCCCTAATTTTAAACTATTCCTTTAATATCAAAAAATACCTTGTATTATTTAACAGTGATATGCCAACAAGTTGAATATTTTATATTAATCATTTTTCAAATATATGTTTCTGTTTTGTTATACATGTATATTTTGTAATAATATAACACTAGTTGTGAATTAGACTTATTGATAAAATAAGAAAAAAATAATATGCAGTGCATGTGTTCAATGTAATTACAGTCAGAAATACCCTGGTGAAAAAAGTAAACATTAAAAGCAGAACTTATTACAGAAATAATATACTTTAAATGAAAGTATAAAGAATTAATCATTCAATGTTTTCAGATTAATAATGAATCACATCTTATTTACAATTAAATTAAAAGTATTATACATGTATAAGCAATGCAGTTAGGGTTAGGGTTTGTAATTTTATTATTCTATAATTTCATAATTACTTCATTGTCTTTAAAATATGGTTAAAGTTGTACTAAATGTATTGACAATGGTAAACTAAAATATACTTTCATGTCATTTCTATTGAAAATCTTTATGTTTACGTATTATACATAAATATTAAGTTGCAAATTAGGACATTTAAAATATCAACTTCACATGCAATATCAAACAACACACTACAGTTCGAATCATAATCAAGTACTTTTCATGTATGATAACACATCGAAATAAGTGCACTTTTCTAAAGCATGCCAAAATGATTTTAAATTGGACATTTTTACACATATCACTTTTAAAAAGTGTACTTAATTGCATTAAGAAACAGACATGTACGTACACACTCTTTAAATAATATTTCATAATCTGCAAGTACTGTTATATTTACAGTTAAGCACACAATGCATGTTGTGAAGTAATTTCAAACTCACCTGGTCTTTTAGGCATGTTTCCAGAGGCTGCTTTGGTTTATTGTTTTAGATGTTTTTGTTGTTCTTGATGCAAAGAGTTTCTTTCTTAGTTTTTAAAAATAATATTAGTCCGATGCCACTTTACATTAGGTTTCTCATCTCTGTTGATTATGGACAAGCTCTACATGGATGGAATAAGGCCTGGAGACATGGGGAATTGAATTCACTCATGCACTCACCCAAAACCCCCACCCCACACAAACACATGACTTCGATTTTGACTGCATGAGTTGCATCATATGGCATAGGAATCACAGTTTTGACTGACAGAAAATACATTTGTTTAAATGTGATTTATGCTGGTTATAGTTTTTGTGTATCTAATATTTATGTGTTGTATGAAATGCATGTATCTTATAATCTTAAACACTAACTGTCCTGTCCTTTTTTCAACTGACGACAGTATACCAAAAAAAAATGTATAGCCTAAATTAGGTTAACAAACACAACTAATCATCTATAGGGCACAAGACAAGTTGATTGGTCACGTGTTTGGTTTAATAGTTGATATAAATTATTCACACCAACACTATACAAAACTAAAGTTTTTTTTTTGTTTGGTTGTATAGCCTACTAGGGGTTGTACATGGTTTGTGGTCCTCTCTGTGGTTTTTAATTGCCTGTCCTTTTAAAAATCATGATATTGGGTGATGTCTGGCACTAAGGGTTCATGTTCCTTTATATTTTATGTGACCCACTACTATCAATGTGTATTGATCAAAATATCCTCTACAACTGAACATAACGGTCTATTTCTAAGAGATGACTGTACAGCTTATTACATCATTCTTAAAAGTACAATAGATGTAAAAGTGGATTTAAAGACATGGAAAAAATAAATAAATAAATAAATAAATGGAATAACAAACAAACAAATAAATAAATAAGACATTGTGGGTGAATAAAAATCTTCACCCACAATGTCTTATTAAAGTCCCCTGAAGAAAAATCTTCACCCACAATGTCTTATTAAAGTCCCCTGTAGTCAATAATTGTATCTCTTAAAATTCATCTTTGATCACCAAAATTACATATTTAAACACCCCCCCCCCCCTTACAAAACTTACAAAGTAGTCTAGTATAATGAGATTTAACATAAAACCGTGACTCTTGTCAATATCTTTTTTTGTCATAAGAAAAAAAAATAACATATCTAATTAATTTTATCTAGTTAATTTTAATTGCACATGACATATTAAATAAGTATTCCACATCAATCCAAAAGAATTTAACACTTAGGCCTATATTCAAAGAAAAGATGCAAAATAGTTTCAGAAATTAACAAGGTCATTTCTATATCTTTTTAGGAACTGGTTTGGTGGATACATTTTATGTATAATTTTATTTCAATCCAAATGTAGTTATTTCGAGGTGTTGCAGGGCAATGAATCAGGCATCTGAAAAATGTATTATTACTTTTACTATCTTTAATATCCACGCCGTAACACAAAACCACATCTCTGCACAAAACAAACAAAGCCTGAAGTTGAACTTTGTGACGCAGCGTGTGTTGCAGGGAAATAACGCCGTGTAGGAAACATGACAGAAGTAAGCGCAACACACATCATGGAAGCGTTTGACTAGTAACTATTTTTTTTACTCTATGATTTTTTACAGTCTATGACTAGTACAGTATGTCGCGAGCTTTCCTCAGACAACGTCAGGCTCTGCAGTGTTTGGGAACAGGGCTCGGTTGTTCTGTATTGTTGAGATCTATCGCTACTCACGGGCTGCCTCCTCACGCAGATGAAGCGTCACTTTATGTCCATGTGAGTGTCTAAATCTGACTGTCAAAGCCACTCACTGGCAAAACGTAAAGAAGTGAAATATAGCCTATTATATCTGTCTGTATTTCTCCTTTTCTACAGTGGCCATATTGCCTGAAAAGATGCTCTTATTGCAACTTCAACAAGTATATTCCTCGGGGTCAAAACCATGCAGTGATGACAGAATGTCTGCAAAAAGAGACAAAAACCTTACTACAACTCAGCCAAGTGTCCCGGTCAGTACAGACATCCATCTACCTCTAGAAAAAAAGTACAGATAAGCATACTTATAAAAGGAGAACTTGTTACGGAAAAGAATGTGCTTTTTAAGGAATATACATGTTATTTGCAAAATCATGGCTTTGGGGGGTTAATAAAGATCTTCTGAAGTGAAGCAAACCAAAGCGAACCATTTGTTTAAGAAAAATATCCATATTTAAAACTTTATCAACTAAAATATTTAGCTTCCAACATGTGAAAGAGAGGATTTAGGTTAATACTCGCTACTTACTTGAATTCTCTGACATCCAGCTCTCAAGCCCCGTTCACACCGCCAGCGACAAAGCGACAAGATCCCATTCATTTCAATGGAGCGCTGGCGACTATGAGGCGCCGGACTGGACAAAAGCGAAGCGAACTGCGCTAGAGAGAACGAGCGTTTCAGTGCGCGCGAGAAAGGCCGAGTGTTTTGCGCGCGAGAGAGACCGAGCGTTTCAGTGCGCGCGAGAGAGACCGAGCGTTTCAGTGCGCGAGAGAGGCCGAGCATTTCAGCGCGCGAGAGAAAGAACCGCGTGTGTGCGGGCATTAGTACGTAGCCTAATTAATTGTACATTATATAATTACTAGGCATGGAAGTTCGATTTATGGACAACAATAATCAGTACAAACGTCTTTTTAAACTATTAACATAAATAATTCGAGCAGATAAACTTTCATAAGGAGGATTAAATAAGATTGAATTTATAGCCAGTAAGATTTCATAACTAATCACTGAACCATAACCAGATTTTTCGTTTCTTGGGCGTCAAATAAAATAACAATGACTTTGAATTGTATTCACCAAAATCGGGATGTTGTCTGCTATGTGCAAGTGTTTCCATGAGAGCACCAAATGGATAGGATAATGGCATCTGTGAGAAAGATGGTTAAATCTGCAAAGACTGCCTTTAAAGAGAATGCAGGAAAATATCTAACTATCCTGACTTGTAGGCCTATAGCTACAGGAAATGTTAGTGGTTTTTTTTTTTTTTTGTCAAAGATGTTATAATCTTTAACAAAACGTTTAACATTATTTGACAAGCACGAATACACAAATACATGGACACAAAAGACACCGATGCACAGAAACACTACACCAGTTAATTTTAATTGGATTTTTAATTAAATATTCGTTAAAATTTCTATTTTATGAAATTGTTGTGTTGTTGCTATATCACACTAAAGACAACCGTGTCAATTTACTGTTAAAAAAATAAATACAGAATTACATCATCAAAGTATGGTAAAGTCAGCTAAAAAAAGCCACGTTTTCTATTACCAATAAGCCATGCATGACATCTAATGATAGGCTATTATTATAAACTAACGTTATAGTTCGAGTGTTGTAATTATATGATGCACGTTAGCACTGCTGCAGTTCATTTTACAATTTCCCCTGCATTACATTGACTATTAGGGACAAGAAAATTGATTATTTGTCAAATTCGAATGACGTTTTTATAATTTGTGACAGTATGAGCGAGTTTAATTTGTTCATTGATCGATCGTTGATCTAGTAAATGATTTAATCCACTGAACACAGCTGTGGAGATATAAAAACAACATCTCCCAACATCATATGGTTTCTTTTTAGCCTTAAAAGTCATTTATTCCCAGTCAAATTAAAATTATGTATCACTTGTGATGGTCTTTTGTATAGATATGGCCAGACGTGCAATCTACCAATAACACAAGAGCGACAGCACTACGAACGCCCACAAGCGACATCACAGTACAGAGCCTAGCGACACACAGCGACAAAGTCGCTGGCGGTGTGAACGGGGCTTCAGTGCGCGTTCTTCGGATGTCTGCACTCAGAAAACCATATATCATGATGATGAAGAATTGCAATGTCACGAGAGTGACTGCGATAGAGATTATAATCAAAACCAAACATGTTTTAGTTTTTGGCAGGGTATCCCAAGCACAAGCTGTTAAAAGCCCCGCCCTCTACTGCATTTAAAGATACATGCATACTTCCTCTCAAAAACTGGGCATTTACAACATGGTAAAAAAAAAAAAAAAAAAATGATATGTAGGGTATTTTTAGCTGAAACTTCACAGATACATTCTAGGGACACCTGAGACTTATATTACATCTTGTAAAAAAGGGGCATACTAGGTCCCCTTTTATTTGTGGGTGAACTATCCCTTTAATTTGTGCTGTACTGTTCCAAAGGATCAGCTCAGTGTTTTTTGGAGGAGGAACACCTAGCTTAGCTCAGCCCTCCACAATCGCTGCTGTCTTGGAGGCTGTTTCCAAAAAGTCCATCTCTCAGATGATGCAGAGGTCACCCTTGAAGTGAATCCGACACCTGCGGGAAAAGCTAGTCTGAAGGACTTCATGTTAGCAGGAGTTAACCGGTTTTCTGTTGGTATTCAGGTACGCTGCTTTCACACAGGCCACCATCTGTCCGACGTTATGTAGCTTACTCACACTTGAGCTGTTTTCCACAGTCACTGAATGATGATCACCTGAGGACACTAGGGAGGGATCACAACTCCCAGCATGCTCTCCGGACAGTGTCAGAGGCCAGGACGCTCTGCCCGGGACGTGTGTCTGTAGATATCATGTTTGCTCTTCCGGGTCAAAGCGTAAAGTCATGGGAGAGTGAGCTGGAGAAATTGCTGCCGGTTTGTGACGATCATGTTTCACTGTATCAGCTGACTTTGGAAAGGGGGACACAGCTTTTTAAAAAGGTTGAAACCGGGGAACTAAACGTGCCCGGTGACGATGTCACTGCTGATATGTACGAATCAGCACGCAGAGTCTTAAAGAAGGCTGGGTTTCAACAGTATGAGGTGTCCAACTTTGCCAAAAATGTAAGTTATAATTCCTTAAGTTCTTAAACCTATATACGGTATAAAAAGTATCAAAATAAGAAGTAGCACTAGCAACACTAAAGTCATGTGTTTGATTCTCAGGCATGCACTGTAATATGCTAATTATTTGAAATGTTTTCTTGGTTTATTGATTATGTACTCGTTGTAGAACGCTGTCAGCGAACACAATGTCGGGTACTGGAGGGGACATCAGTACATCGGTGTAGGCCCAGGTACATTCATGCAAGATTTTTTTTTTTTAAAGAAATGAATACCTTTATTTAGCAGGGAAGCACAAAATTGATCAAAAGTGAATTTCTAAGGAAAAAAATATCTAGTTCTATTGGCTTTTTAAAAATCTATCGGCTTTTTCAGAAATAAGCTTGCGCAATTTATAAATGATAGCAAACAGGAGACGACAGGAAAACACCGATCATTTTGGTATGATGATTTGATGCTCAGAAAACACAAATTATTATTATCAATGTTAAAAACAGTTTTTGCTGCTTGCCATTCAAACATTTGTGGGAAAGATAAAAAAAGAGAGAAATGAATACTTTTATTCACCAAGAATGCATTGGATTGATTAAAAGTGACAGTGTATATGTTTAGATTTCTATGCAAATAAATGCGGTTCATTGAACTTTCTATTTATGAAAAAGTATCACCATTTCCACATTAATGTTAACCAGCACACCTATTTTCAACATTGATAACAATAATACATGTATCTTGAGCACCAATCATCACATTAGAATTATTTCTTAAGGATCATGTGACACTGAAGACTGGAGTAATGATGCTGAAAACTCGGCTTTGATCACAGGAATAAATTACATTTTAAATTCTGATTGTTTAAAATTTACTGAATCTGTACAGATTTTTATATAGATTTTTTACTGAATTTTCGATTAATCAAATAAATGCAACCTTAGTGAGCAGAAGACTATATATATATATATATATATATGAAGAGTTCAGATGCAAAAGCCTCTAAATGCCATTTGAAATTTTCTTCTTTAATGATGATTTTGATCAAACTTGTATATTTAAGTTCAGTAATTTCACTTAAATAACAATTAATAGGTAATTATCATTGCCATTTAAGTGAAATCACTGAACTTAAATATACAAGCTTGATAAAAATGATCATTCTAGAAGAAAATTTCAAATGGCATTTTTTGCATCTGAACTCTTCATATATTACCATCCTCAAACTTTTGAATGTTAGTTTATAGACTGATCTTACAAAGACACACAGTAAGATTTCTCGTGATCTGCCAGGGGCTCATGGGCGCTTTGTGCCGCGTGCAGTGGGAGGAGTTCAGAGGGAAGCACGAACCCAGACCTTAGAGCCAGATGTTTGGATACGAGAGGTTCAGCGTCACGGTCACGGGACGCGCCGTCAGATACAACTTGACCACCGTGGCCTGTAAGTGTATCTGACATGTAGTCCACACACAACAAGCTGTGTAAGCAATCTGTTGCTCAGTTATTTATTCAGATCATAATTGTATCTGCAGGCTGGAGGAGGTTTTGGTCATGGGTCTGCGTATGAATGAAGGAATCACCCGGCAGGTAAAATCAATGGACCCCGCTTCTTAACACAACATAGTGCAGGTCACATTTCGAACCAATTATGTTTTGCTTTTTTTTTTTAAAAAGGCATTATGTTAATATGCAACTAATGCTTTTTCTTATATGAACTGGCCAATGCATTTGACCTTTTTTTCTTATGAAATGGTGTAGCACTGGGAGTTATTTAGCCCAGAAGCTGACCTCCAACACATTTTTGGGATGTCAGAAAACGTTCAGGAATTGCAAGCAGGCGGGCTTCTAATGCTTGATGACAGGTAATGCTTATGACTTTATTTTACTTTTAAAGTAACCCAAGTGCAATTCACTTACATTTTAATTAGGGATGGGCAACGATTAATCGCGATTAATCGCATCCAAAATAAAAGTTTGTGTTTACATAATATGTGTGTGCAGTGTGTATAATTAATTTAAATACCCACACATGCATGTATATATTTATGAAAAATGTGTTATTAATATATCAAATATTTATATTTATATATAATATTAATTGTGAATAAATATATATAAAATATATACATGCACATATTTCTTAAATATATACATGCATGTGTGGGTATTTATATATACAAATTAATTATACACATTACACACACATATATTATATAAACACAAACTTTTATTTTGGATGCGATTAATCGTTGCCCATCCCTAATTTTAATTCCCCCCTGATGCTCACCTTTATGTTTTAGGGGTTTGCGCTGTTCCTGGGAAGGATTAGCGTTACTAGACAGCATCTTACCCACAATGCTGCTTGAATTAGAGACGTTTTTCCAAAGTAGGGTTTCTGCACATCAGCAGGAACACAGACTTTCACAGAGACGGATGACCGTTTATATCGGAGAAACATGACACAGAGATAATGCGTGATAAGGTAAACATGAAACGATTGAAGATGTTTACGTATGTGTCAATAACGTGACGCGTTTAAACCCTTATCTATTAATTTATTCACAAATAGAACATTAAAAAAAGCATTGCATATATGACTTGAATGCACCTCTTCAATGTGAACATGCTTTTAATCTCTGAATTAGAATTCAGTGTAATTTGTTAAGGGAGTTCGGGGTGCATAAAGTAAAAAGTCAGGTTGATGTGTTTCTGCATCTGTTTCATCACCAATATAAAGAAAAACAAAGTTTTCAATGTTGCCTGTGTGTCTATACGTATTATTTTATCTATACACTTTTTTATATATGCTTTAACCCTCTGGGGTTGTTCGGCCCAAATGGACCCGAAGAATTTAAATAAATTTTTTTTAAAAATCACAGCTTCCTCGGAATGGTCCGAAATTTGGTGACTTTGTTGATATTTGGTATTTGAAGACCCCAAAAAATTGGGGACAGGATGTGAATAGTCTAAGTGGTTGTAAAAAAAAATAGTCACACTTGGGGTGTTCGGGTCCAAATGGACCCACGTGGAAAATGAATGGGAAATTGGCAAAAATGTGAAAATACTGAGTTTTTTTGTGCGTACAATCTACAAATCAGCCACGATCTTGAAAAAAAGCACACCACAGTGAAGGGGTGAATCTATAAAACATCAAGAGTGCAAAACAGACACAGCCAGACAAAACACTTTTATACACAAACACACCAAAAAATTCAGATGCTCAGTTTGTCCACCAGATGGCATCCATCTCATTTCAAAAATTGCTTTTATGAGGCCTAGGCTTGACTCTAAAATGAAATACAGCTTTAAAATTTTTTTAAAAAAATATATTTTTTTTAAATATTTTTTCTATTATGTTCAATGGAGGGAAATGTTGTCATAATTATTGCATTAATACTAATTATAGTTTTTTTTTATTTTTGAAATTTTCTCAAAACACCAAAAATGAAAAGAAAAAATATTATAAAAAACGAGTAAAAAAAAAAATCATGATTTTTGTTTTTTTAAATATGAATCCCGCCCTTTGGGTCCATTTGGACCCGAACACCCCGAGTGTGACTCTGAAACGAACAACCCCAGAGGGTTAAGACAAACCTTGTGCAAATTCAAAAGTCAACACCATTACTGAGTATTTCTCCTTACAAATGCAGTGAACCAAAGACAGTCTCAAAAATGCAGTTTGAAAACACCCTTAATTTCTACTCAACTCGTAACCAATCCCATCAACGTGCGGGCAGGGCTTTTCCAGTGGGTGAGAGGTAGTACACATCCATGAACCAAGATCTAGAGAAAATAATTTAAAAAAAAAAAACACTCTACCTGTCACACATGCATGTGGTTGTCTGCTATTTTTATACTTAAAATATAATTCAGGAATCTTTGAAACGATTGACACAATGATCTTGGATGATTTTCTGATCTATGAAATCTGAAGTGATTCTTTGGTGGTTTTTGATTCGACGTGCAGAAATGATTTATTGGATCTGCCATTTAAAGTTACTCCTCTTCAAGCCACCCACATGATTGCTCAGTCAGAGAAGGTCACGGAAGAATCATGAATTGTTCCTGTTGCTCCCTTTAGCCTATTTCATAATATATATTGCATCAATTTAGTTGAGACATTATCGCGTCAAAAAGCTGTTGTTATGATCCCTATAAATGTCTAGGATTCAAGGGACACAAAACATAAGAGATGGACAACCGATGAAGTATTTATTAACACACAAGCAATGACAGAACCCCCTTAGAACTAAGTCCGCTGTCCGTGGTGCTGATCGAGCGCCTTCTGAATATACAAATAATTATGCAAATATGAATGCGCTAAAACGTCAATGCGTCTTTGTCTTTAGGCTACTATTGATCGAGTTTTGTCATTTCTCTGCAGGCATATTAATCACTGCATTCATAAATATTCAAAGTCTAACGGGATTCAATGTCTTTCTGCATTATGTTGTGTAATTATGCACAGCGTGATTGTATTGTCAGGGATTCACACATTCTTACTAATGCGAGAGGATTTAACGCCAGCACAGCGACTATGACTAAGCCGCACTGCAGACGATGGGAAGTAAGGCTTCAACGCCCACAACTTTCTTCGTTCATCCATAAATGGACATATTGTGTGAGGTTTGTTCTAAAAGTAGACGCTGCTGCCAAAGTGAGGTGAGCTGGGGTACACCTTATAAATATGTACAGTATTATGACTCATGAATATCACTGAAGTGGCGTTACATTCTCTTGTTTGTCATACGGTTTGCTTTTTAACTTTTTAGCGGATACATTAGTTTGCAATGAACACACTCACGCAAAATGAGGGAAAACACGACGCAGTATTTCTTAAGGACAATTTTATTGTTGTCTGTTATGACAAAGTGGAAACAAGTTTGAGGTAATGAAGGTTTATTCATTTTCAAGAAAAAAAGAGACAACCGCGCGTGACTGCGTCTGTTGTCTGTGGTAGTCGTGCAAACAAATGTGAGGTATTACAGTCAATACAAAGAAAACAGAACTCCTTTATACAACATTTTCCAGTTGGAAATACATGCGTGAATATGTGCGTTTTGAAACTGGTCAAAAACTTGTCATGAACTGCACTGAAAAATTGGTAACAAATAGCTTTATTCATATAATATAAGTCATTCATAAGTCAAAAATATAATTTAACAGCACTGAATCATGCGACAAAACCCATTTTATTTGTTAAATTAGCTATAAATTGCTCCTTAAGGTCATATACCACACTTTACTGCGTGGTAGGTTAACTCTTAAAAAGTTTACAAGAGCATTTCGGCAAGAAATGCCATAGAATAATCTAGAACAGAACCACAGATTCCAATAAAGTACCTTAATTTTAACAGTTGGTTGCTGGACTGGTCCAGCTAATAATGACCAGTTTAGACCAATAATACCAAGCCTGCTTTTCCTGCAGGTTTTTAAAGACATCGCACAAATACTTTGAAATCTGTCCTCTGGTCCAGCCAGGGACTTATAGAATTTAATAATTCTTACGTAGCTGAATAATTATTATTCATAGGTTTGAAACAGAGTCCCTATAGCGTTACTCTTTTACTGTATTTGGCACCTCTCAATAGGTGTACATCTTTTAGGGGTGCTCGGCCCCATCACGCGCCGCAGATCGCTACTGAAACTCGGTCTACGCGCGAGCGGTTGCACCGCCCCACACGGCTCTTTTGTTTCTCTTTCTGCTGCTCAGCGCTTGATACGTGTGAATGGAGATGTCTCGATGGAGAGAGGGTCTGGTTTCTGTGGGGAGCCCTCCCAGCACCGCCAGGGCTTCGAACATCTCCTCGAGGTTAGTGGAGTCTTTAGCAGACACCTCAAAAGAGACGCTGTCCTCCCCGAGAAACCGGCAGATCTCTGCGTGTCGCACAGCTCTCGGGGAGTTTAAGTCAGATTTATTGCCACAGATTATGATTGGAAGCTGTCTGTTTTCTTTGGACTTGGTCAGTTTGGATTTGGCCGAGACGATCTCCTCGCGTAAAGAGCAGACCTCAGTGAAAGACTCTCGGTCAGTCACGCTGAACACCAGCAGGAACAAGTCACCTGTTGAGGACATAATAAGACATTAGAACTTAGTAAATCATAGATATTGTTATTCAAATGAACAAAAAAATGGTACAGGCTATGTATACTGACCGGTCAGAATAGTCAGTCTTCGCTTGGCAGGGAAGTCTCTCTCTTTGGACGCGTCCAGGATATCTAGCTGGTATCTCTCTCCTCGGATGTGGAACAGTTTGCTGTGAAAGTCTTCAGTCGTAGGCTCATAATGTTCCTCGAATCCATCATCGCCGAGGAAACGGCGTATAAGCGCCGTTTTTCCCACTCGGGGCGCGCCGAGCACAACTATGCGCCTGTAATGACTGGGTTTCACGCTGACCACCAGATCCTCGTTTTTACTCTCATATCTCATATGCTTTGTTTTATGGAGCTGAGAAGCGGAGACGGGGTCCAGATATGTCCGTAGTTTGCGTTCAGAAGACGAGGGTCGCTTTCCGGTGCTGGAGGAGCGCACCACCCTTGGATGTCTCCAGTGCGATGCGCATTGCAAATGCTTTTCAACTGTTGCGGTGGCTTCGGAATGATAACTGGAGAGCGTCGCGGTGCCATCAACTGAAAGAAGAGCTTTATCAGTTGTGTTCACCTCCATGCTCCTTGGTGTTATCATCCAGAACGGCTCTCGGTGCAGTGTGTTGTACAGTACGCGCATCCCGCAGTGCTTTTTATATGCTGAGGGCGGATGGGTTGTGTCGTGTGGTGCGTCATTCAACGCTTATAGATTTGGTTTCTTCTGGTGAATCTGAACAGTGCTGCTGCCTATTTAAGGTATTGCCCACCGCAGAGTTACTTGGATCTGAGCCATTCTTATGCAGAGCTGCAGATTTTCAGTATTGTCAGTTAACATTGAAGAAGTCAAAAGTTTTTCAGCTTAAGTTGGATTGAAAATGCCCGAAAAAATTACGGGTTGACATAAATACGCATTTGTAAAAAGTTGATATTGTTATTTTCTTTCACCATTAAAAAATGTGAGTAGATTTTTGTTTTGATCTTGGAAGACGTTTCTTATATATGCCCAATACTGCATTTATTTGATCAAAAAGAAGACAATATTAATAACTGTTTTAAAATAAATGTAATTTATTCCATGTGATCAAAGTATTTTCAGCATCGTTACTGCAGTCTTCAGTGTCAAAGGATCCTTCAGAAATAACTCTAATTTGATGATTTGATGCTCAAGACACATGTATTATTATTATTCATAATTTTATTATAATTATCAATGCTGAAAAGCAAATGTGCCGCTTTATATATATTTATTTTTAACTGAAAACATGTTTTCAGGACTATCTGATGAAGAGAAAGTTCAGCATTTATTTGGAATAGAAATCTTTTTTTGGGGTAAGTAACCCATTGAAAGTAACATGTAATCAGATTACTTTTTTCAAGTAACTAGTAAAGTAACATATTACTTTTAAATTTACAACAAAATATCTTTTTTTAGTTACTTCAAATAAGCAAATGCAAGAAATTAACGCAATATTGTAATACATTAAAAAAAAACTTAACTTTCCCCAACACTGATTATAAATATTTTTACTGTCAATATTTAATATTTTATGTCCCTTCTCTATGAATAAAAGCAGCTCCCAAAATTATATTTCATTGAAAAAATGGCCAGTTAGTTCCTCTCTGCTAATGAAAGAAGTATCGATAGTTCCAGAGAAACCAAGATTTGCATGTCAGAGAGAAACACAGTTAAAAGTCCCAGCACAACACAACTCAACCAATCAGCACAGACCTGAACCAAATGTTGTATAATTCTTTCTTCAGTTTGATGTGATGTATATCTGCGTGAGTAGCATGTGGGTGGACACATTTTAGTTTATTTCCCTCAGTCATCTGGATAATTGTGGGGTTGCTAATGACTGACTTTCCAGGAAAAAAACAACACAAATTGCATAATTATTGAACAAGCTTTATTTTTTTCAATCGCCGGATGATTTTCAGATGAAAAGCTTGTGTTGTTTGTGTGTGGGCACACGGAAACATTTGGTCAAAGAGCTAGGTGCAGGTTTATCCGTGTCTGTTTTTTGTGTGTGTAGATGAGACGGGTACCTCGGGAATTGCATCTATGAATGATTTCACATTTCATTAATCCCTGTCTGCGTAATGATGTTGATGGCTCTCTTTTGATAGAAATAGAATAACAGCTGACATTAATAGTGCGTTGAAAATAATCGAAGCATCACGACAATGATAACAATAATATATATGATCACGACCACAATTCACATGTAGCGGAAACTTCTGAAGAGTACTAATGGAAATCATATACTTTAAAGTAATATACTTCACGGTGACGTGTGAACTTAATTGCATGTTATTTACAGTTAAATGAAGATTTATGTTAAAGGCAATTGCTTGAACTTAAGTAATTTATTCATGTCATTTAATTATTTCTTCATAACTGTCTTTGAAATATGTAGTTAAAGTGCACTGCTGAATGTGTGGACAAACATTTATATCAACTTTAAATTGAATATCAAATAACAGACATCCAGTTATTTTTATAACAAAGTACTTATCTGCACAAAAATAGAGTCATAATGCAAAACATTGGTCCAAAAAAGCACTACACTGTAAAAAAAAATATTGTTGGTTTAACTTAAAAAAATAAGCGGTTGCCTTAAAATTTTAAGTTGATTAAAATGGAAAAAGTGAGTTAATACAATGAAGGAGATTGATTTAATCATCAAAAACTCTTGTTATCTGAACTAAATAAATTATTTAAGTTGATTTGACAAAAGAAAAAATTTTGTGATAACAAATCTTGAAAATAGTTTTTTACAGTGTATTTTGAGGAGGAATATGGCAATGTTCAAGAAATATCGAGAACATTCTGGCTATACAAGAGCATGTCTGCACATCTTTGTATTGGGCAAGACATCATTACTTAACAGAGAGGACAAATCGCCACCTTATTCAGTGTGAACACACATGAACATATCTGAGTCTCTGTTCAACCTCATTCTGTCAAGGCCACTCTGAATGGACTGAATTGTTGAATGTGCTTTGCCTTTCTTTTACAGTGCTTACCTTGGAGTGCTTGAGACTAAATGTTCTCTGCTGAGAATGAAATATTCATCACCATGGCAACTGTGCACTTTATAACACTGGTTTCCAGAGTCTAATCTAAAAAGCTGAGGCTATCTCTATTGAGAGCCATCACAATTTTACTGGACTTTTATTGAAATTGTGTGTATACATTGTTGTGAGATGTTCTTATAGAACTTACAAGCTGAAGACACGTATGTCACGAATGCTTTTTGTTTCATTGAATTCACCTAAATGTAAGCTGTATGTATTCACTGTCTAAAATGTTCCATCATTGTAACAATTATTAAATTAAGTCTTAAAATAAGTAATTAGTTAATAAGTAATTAATAGCTGAAAGTACATGCTGGAATTTTAAATTGTAAGTACAATGTAAAAACATGTATGTACACAATAAGTCCATTGTATCAAATTATTAATTTCAATGTAAGTACATAGCACTTAAAGCCACTTAATATAAAGTGGGACCATAATAACTTAAATTGTGTCAGCTTGAAAAAAGTTGCAAAATTGCATATGTTCTAAATGTCTCTTGATTTCTTTTTCTCACATCATTTTTTCTCATTTTAATGCTCAACATGGAAGAGTGGATCAGCTTGCTTTGTGCAAAATCAAATGTTTTTTTATTGAAAACAACATTGTCATATAGCCTACTTCACACTAACATTCTCACTTGGAGCAAATAATCTCTCACAAAATGTAACACTATCCATCAATAAAAAAGTGAAAGAAATACTGACGAGGTCCTGATATTGATGAGGGGGCGGAGAATTCGCATCAGCTGTGTGTGTGCTTTGCAATCAAGTGTGTTTCAGACTAGACGTGCTGCGATTGATGATGGCTTCACAACAACAAAACACACAGATCACTTTGGTCTTGTCAATTCAACCATTTAACAACTTTTTAGTAAAGTAACAACTATGTATCACACGAAATAAGTTTCCATTCAGAATCTAATCCATTTCGGCGTCTCGCGCTCGTCATCCACTCAAAACCTAACGTTTACCAACTTTGGCCGGCTCACAAGCCCAAATAAGTGTGCGGTGTGCCTGTTGTTTTGTTTCCGGTCAAGATCCGTTTGCCCTTTGGTCGACGAAGCAACAAAACGTCCTCCTCGCGCGGGGCAAGCCAAAAAACCCGACAAAGTCTGCGAGGCCAAAAAGACCGTTAATCGCACGATAAAAAATTTGACACCGTTAAAATGGGTTTGTGTTAACGCCATTAGTAACGCGTTTAACTGACAGCTCTAATACATCAAAAACTGTACATAATATGTGTTTTTTAAATCAAGTGATCAAAGTGCTCGTTGTGATCACCGTATGGCGCGGATACGGTGTTTTCTCGTGTGGCTCGTGCACACCGCACTGTCTTCACTCGATCCGTTGCGGATATCGCCGTGGATATTGTAGTATTGTATTGCTAAATCCCCCGACCACTTTGTCGGTCTGAGACAGCGAGACCAAGACAAGACCGAGAGGTCTGAGACCAAAACAAGACCAAAGACTGTCAAGGCCGTGACAAGACCGAGACGTAGAAGTGGTCTCGAGACCAAGACCGGTCTCGAGACATACATCACCACTAGCTGGCACAAGCAGAGGGGACGAGATCAGAAAACAGGATGGTACCGGCTGACATGAAGGAACTAGCATGCAGGGTGGGATCATCAAGGGAGGAAGGTGTCTGGATGCAACCAGCAGCCAAACGGGACAGGCAGAGGAGGAGAAAGTTCAGGGGTGGGGACATGGATAGGGACTAGCTTTATGACCATAAATAAATGAGCCTGTGATCTGATCCTGGCTCAGGCATGGATTGTGCTGCAGGCCCTGATTATGGGAAGAACCTGGCGGGAGTCTCTGACCTTGGGACAGACATGGTGACTGACTCTATAGCGGGAGTGCGCTCTAGCAAGGGGTCTGTGGCGAATGTGGGCTGACACACTCAACAGATTCAACAGGTCCCTAAAGGACATACACTGGGCAGGTATGCCTTGGACTGCTGAGGTTGGCATCAGGTCCAAAAAAGTCATTGTGTGGTCCTCGAGAGATCAATCATCTTGATTCTTCCTTCTGTCAGATGTGAGTGGCGTCCATGAAGACCAGCGGAGCTCCAAAAATATATAGTCTCTTATTAACTAAATCAAAAAAACTTGAGGAAACATAAGTTGGAAACAATATGGTCGTATGTTGTATAGAAAAAAAAAGATATACATTATAACCCAAATGACTATCTACTCTCTTCCTAACATCATTCCTGCTATTCTGGATGCCCTTCCTAACACAACCCAACACTCAAATGGTAATTTGGCATATCCAATCCACCTAACCTGCATACCTTTAGAGATTATATGACTTATTTATAAATGGTATCACAACATATTTATAAATGGAAACAAATCGTGAAAGTTGAGTGATTTACACGATTCTCTACAGAGCGCTCACTGATCTCTATACAAGTATAGATAACACATAGATCAGTATTTTCACCCCTACAAACTCGTGTATCATCTAGAATTTATTTTCTCATTAATAAATATGACTTTGCTCTGTTATTCATGAGCTCGAAATTCATAAGTACATTTTTTTATGACTCTACATGAAGTTGAGCATGAATGAGGAAGTAAGCTGCATTACACACACGCCTGTTTTACACACGTCACTCACACACAGAATCAGGAAACTACTTCAACTCCTCAGTTCAGAGAAACAGAAACTGAAGTG